ATTTTATCTGTGTAACAACTTGGTGATATGGGAAATAATTGGTCCCAGGTTAAGAGTTTCTTGACTAGACTGGGCCTTGATCCCAGTGTTCTCTTTATATTGATAAACTAGAATTGTTTCAAGTTAAAGATCTTGGATGTTTGACAACATTAATTTTTTCAAAACCTGAAGTGTACTTCTGACCACATGTTTGATTTGTTTAGAAGGGGCTTTTTAAAGTTTCCCGTGTGGCCCTTTTAGGGTCCCAGAGACACAGAATTACTCCTGAGATATGACCCAGTTGCTCACCCTAGTCTAAGGTCACATTCCTAATCGTGCTTACTTTAAAGTAAGCTAAGTTGAAACAAATGTAATGTATTTCCATTAATGTGGTTATAATTAGGCTGTAAACTTTTAACATCACCATAAACCTATGTCATTGTTAATATTGAAGAAGAATTGCTTGTCAATACAGAGCTTTTAAATATGTCAAAACTTATTAGATGAATGTTGTTACAGTAGTCCACATGAATGTAGTATTTGATTTGTCAGATCATTAGACATAACTAATTTTAAGAATATGATTGTAAAGTTTGAGTGCTGTCAAAATGATCTGTGTAACCATCTCAGTTGTGGGATTCAAAAGCTGTATTTATTTATTTATTTTTTTACAAAAAAAGCTATGCTTTCTGAAAAAAAAAACCTATTGCTATTCAGATCATTCCAGCAATAAGATGGTTGATCAATGACCAAGATAATGTCAGCTAAGTACCATTCCAATTTAATGTGTGGAGAGATGGTCTCAACGTGGCTTCAGAGTAACACTTGCTCATTTTACATATTTGGATTAAATCTCAAAAGACCTGTAAAGTTGGTGGCTACCTTCTATTACAGTAGTGTAATTAATTTCTTAATTACAGTGGTGTAATTAATGAACTAGCATTTTGAATGACTGGATGAAGCATCTCTGTCTAGGCCTGAGAGATCACATAGATTTTGGCCTGAGAGATCACATAGATTTTGGCCCTGTGTAAGTTGACACCAAGTAAATTTAAATATGTGGTACTTGGGTGCCTCTTTTAATTACTGAAAGTTATGCATAGGTCTGCCCTGTCTGAACATACATGTTTCTATTAGTAAATGTTCAATGGAGTTTAAAGAACTCTAAAGATGAGTTCAGTGATCAATTCTCTTGCTTTTTCCTGTGTGCATAGGGTAACAACTACATAATTTTCGAAACAGTTCATCTTCCTAGATCACAAAAAACCATCACTTCATGCTGTCTACCTTAAATATTGGTTGGGATTTGTGGCAGCTGGCTACAAACTTCTCATCTTTCTTGTTGATGTACTTTTCATCCTTCTTATTACAATGCAAATGGGGCAGCATCACTTTATAAGTAGAATCCCGTCTACAGATCTCAAATACTATGTTTTTTCCTGCCCTTTGTCCTTGCTTATCTGACTTTCCACTGTTCTCTCTTGTCTTGCTAGCTTGGTTCTGCTCTATTCCACTCTCCAAACTCAGAAGCAAGTTCTAGTATTTACCCAAATCAAGAGGCAAATAATTGGTTTCTTAGTTAGAGAGTAATGTGAAAAAAAATCTCTTTGCACACTGTAGACTTTCAATGTAGCCTTTCTTACTCATTTAGAAACATCATGAGGGTTGTGCAACATCTTCATCAAAACAAGTTCAATTCCCGTTTAAAATTGAGCCTGACAGTTTCACATCCCAATCTCTGCCACATTTTGTGAAATTCTCCAAAAAGGACATGTTAACAAATGCCAGCTTGCTAAAACTTCCTTGAAACTGTATTATAGATAAACCAAAAACATCACTGAAAGTTCTTGTAGCCTATTTTAATAGTTGCAGTGCTTTGTGTAACAATTACTGGTTTTAATTACAGAACATTGGATATGCTATTTCATCTCTTCAGATAATGATGCAACAGGTTTTTCTTCCTTGTATGCTGTATCAAATTAAGCACTCCCACACTGCTCAAACAGGTTTCAAACCAGTTGTGTACCTTCACTTTCTACTTACTCAGAATTATTCAGTGTTTAATTAAGAACTGAATTGCTTCATGAGCATACTTGTTTATTAGTAAAAGAACACCTCTGGCTAGTTCTGGCAGTTAGCTGTTTAAAATTTAAACAAAAGAGTGCGGATGAATAAAAAGGTTGCCCCCCCCCCTACTAAATTGATGAATGCAGGGTATCTATACACTATATATTCTGCTTTGAATGCAAACTTGTTGCCGACAGCCATTTAGAAATGCTTGAAGGAGTGTGATGTTCAAATTATATTATACTATGTGAAATCCAGACTGACAGGGTGATTGGTAACCACAGTTTGCTTAACATACAGCATGTCTGCCACGTTTGATCTCTCCTTGCAGTGTGCAATTCTTGGAGAGAGGAGAATGTGTTCTAGAGCACTGATTGGTTCTCACAGCAAAAACTGTGGTTCCCAAAACGCTCACCCCTCTGACCCCTTTTACATCTATATTCACATGTCACCTCCCTGCCGTCCCTGATTGATACAGTATATGAATAAAAACATTGTGTTTTTTCAATGTGCATATTTTTGTTTGCACGTTTTTAAAAAACATTATATAATGTTTTTAAAAACATTTTGAAGATATCCAGGCCTCACTATGTTTATTGCATATATTCACGTATAAGTTGACCTTATGTATGAGGGACAGGTTTTGCAGGCCAAAATTATGGATTTTGATATGACCTGTGGAATGGTTGTGTCACTTCATGGAAATCACCAGTGCCCCCTCAGGGAGGCCATTTTCCCACCCAGGCATTCACCTGTCCCTCACAGTGGATGGTAGCCCCCCCCCCCACATAGTCCAGAAATCTTCATTCCTCTGTCTCCTTTTGGAGCAGGCGCAGAGGCCCCTATCATTCCTTCACTAGTTCTTTTACTAGAAATGCATATATAGACAGAAGTTCCTGCCTCCACAGTTCATGGATCTTGAACTCCCAGGGTCCAGTTCCGCTTCCATGCTCTGTTGCTCTTGGCTCTGGGGGAGGGCATAATCTGGACAAACATGTCTTGTGAGGGTCTTGTGCAAAGACATGGTATGGTCACATAGCAGTTTCTAGGCTCCAGCCAGCCCAGGGACTCCCTATCCCTCCTTTCATGCCATTTGCTTTCCAGAGAGTATTCCAGTCTCTGTCTTCCCCAAACTGGGACATGTGGCAATTTGGGCCAGAGGGATGGGAGAGAGGGGAAGGGAAGGGACAGATGAGCAACTTCCCTCTGCTCCAGTCTGGCTGAGCCTCCTTGCCCCTCTTCCTCTTGGGGCGGGGTTACTTGTGATGTCGATGGATGCTGCTAGAGAAGCTGAAGAAAGATTGGGGCCACATGTTTTGTCTGGAGGTGATGAGGGCCCTAAAGCTATGCTGATACAAGAAGGCATTCATGAAGCAGCAGGAAGAGTGGCCCCTGTAAGCTACTATAATACCCGCACCCGGTAGGCCATGTCTCATATCTTAAGGATGTGGACCGCAAACCACATACAGTATTGTATTACCTATGTAGTAAACAGTTTCATTTCCCATTAGAAGCAGTTCTAACTTTTACTTAGCTCCCTCCTGCCTGGGAGGGAGAGGTGTATTTCTAGCTTTTTCAGGTGTGCTCCGTCCCAAAAAAATTCAATCCTGTAAACTGTAGGACTTAGAAAAAAGTGTCCATGTTGTTAAAGTGAATGTATGTGTTTCTAAAACTATTAATGTGTGGGACTGGATTTTTTTTTCTACTACTGCAATATTTATGCCCAGTGACCATAACAATTCTCTACTTCCCAGGAACACTCTGCAGTTCAACAGCTAATGGCTGTCATACTGGTTCTTGATCATGGAGAATGGTTTCGAGCAGTACTGTTTTAGAATACAACCATAATCCTCTGTCAGCCTGAGGTTTTCAATGCCAGAAGTATAGGAAATCCACATGGAAAGGTTTTTCTGGGATCAGGGAACTTTGGCTGGCATACTATTCAGTATTTACAAGATTGTAAACTGGACTTAATGATTTTATGACAGCTGGGGCTTTATGGGTTGCGATTATTAACAATTGGATATGACCACAAAGACCTAATTTTTCATCCCAGTGATATCGTAATCAAAGGGTTTCTGAGGAGGTGCAAATCAGGCTGCTGTGAAATGATGTCTGTAGAGCTGTCCTGGTTGCTGGACACAGGAGGTGAAGCAAATATGGTAGGACACTGGGGATGGGCGATATTTGGTTCCTGTTCTTGATGTGCCCCATGACTGGGTGAGTGTTGCTGGACGCATTTGCCCGTGCCCCCATCTGAAGCCTCCTAGGAACCTTTCGGTTACAAATGCCAATATGTAGTCCCAGGCTTTTGGAAGGTAGCATCATCAGACATAGTTCTGAAGATGGAATTCCATCATTGTAGCTATATCTGAAGATGCAGCATCTCGGCCTTCTACTCCATTGACTTAACAAAAAAATGACTACTGTTTTCTTAAAGGCATCAGGATTTTAAAGTATTTGTCTTTATTTATGTGTTCAAATTCATTATGAGGCAGAGGTGGAAAAAGTGTCAAATTTCTGTTTGATCGGAAGAGTTTTTAAGCACTAAAGACAAATTATCACAATTGCAGTGCTTATGAGGACCACAGTTAAAACACACACACACACTGTATGATTCTATTCTATTAACATGCACATTCTAGAGGTTATGTGGCATGTAAATGTGCCATATGATCCTTGTTGTTTTTGGATGTTTTACAGCTTCATTTGAGAAAACAATTAATTTGTCACTTCCCCTTTTCAATTTTAGTGTTAGAACCTGCATAGGAAATTTTCTGTAGCTTCTTGAAAAAGACGGTGCGCCACTTTCATTTCTTCCATATTTTCTTTCAAGATAGGATTTCTAGGTTTGATTTTTTTAATGTTTCCCCACACCTAATCGAGAAAAACAATTCTCTGCCTGTGGGAAGTGTGTAAAATGAAACTATCAGTTATTTGTTTTTTCTCCCTAGAGAGATGATGGCAGTGATGGTAGTTTGAGTGATAGTCACATATCACCTCCAGCCAAACGTACACTGAAACATGCTGATTCTGTATGCAAAGACAAATCAAAATCTCGCAGTACTGGGCAGCGAGAGGAATGGAGCGTCTCAACTGGACAGTCCCGGTAAGAATATCAAAAGTATTTAGACATTTTTTTCTAAAGACATTTAGACAGTTTTGTTAAATTCTGAAAATCCTTTTAAAAAACTTGAGCGATCTAGTGTTTTTTTCCTTCAAAGAAAGGTGTTACATGAATGTGTTGCTTAAACCAGCTTCTCTGTGGCATACTAATTCTCATTACTAATATGTATCTGATAGTCAGTAATATGAGCTGATGGAAATGAACTGCGTGTGTGCTTTGGACAGGGAGGGAAGAGCTAGACTTTATAGTGCTGCTTTTTGTGGCACTCCTGTGTTTTTTGTAATATAACAAGACAAGCTTCTGGTTTTTCCCGAAAGTTTCCAATTTTATGCATGCGTGCATGAGACATAGCTTGTTCCTCTTCCCTGTCCCCCTCCAGAACATTTTGTTACAAATGGCAGAGCTTTGTTTGTGGAAATGGAGAAGAACAACTCCATCTGTTGCTTAGATTAAAACATCTGGAATTTCTTGTGATTTCAGTGCAGTTGTGTCTCCGTTGTGGACATTGCAGTAAATCCAAAACATTTATTTTGAATCTTTATATGCAGCATTTGAAAACGTGACTGTTTGTGTTAGTTTGGTGTATACCAAATAACTCCTGTGCTTGAACTATTAAACTGCTTGATGACAAGGGCCAGATTTGATCAAAGTAACACAGGCAAATTGTATTGTCAAGCTTACTTGCATAAATATGACTTAGAGTTGTCTTCAGCATGTTTTTATAGAATCACCGAATATTCATTTAGGGATCCCTTGTTTGCCATAAATAGAACACTTTTTTTCTTGTGGCGTCAGGCTTAGAGAAACCACTGTTCATAGGTTTCTTGGGTGTTTTTAAATAAATTCCAACTTCTGATGAACCTAAGATGAACCTATTTCAGGAATTTCTTGGCAAGATTTGTTTAGAGCAGGTTTTGCCTTTGCCTTGTCCAAGGTATCCAAGTGGGTTACCATGACCAAGCAGGGATTCAAACCCTGGTCTTCAGAATCTTAGCCCAACACTCGAACCACTCCACCATCCTGGTTCTCACTTTCCATCTACAGTATATAAAAACACATTCTCTTGTGAGATTTCCAGAAGTGAGCATATGGCTACTGACATATGTTAGTTCCCACCAATAATGTTGAAATAGAATTTATGGGTCTCACTACAGGTGTAATTTGTACCTGATGGATCTTGCTCTCTGTGATATTCCTGAGCTATGTTCTAAACATTAATTGTGGTAAAGTAGGAGGCGTTTAATCAAAATCTGCACAACTAATGTGCTGAATTTCTGCACTACACAGATGCTGATTTGAGTCTCTTTCTAAACTTTCTCATGTTTTGCCCATCCATTGCCACAGAATTCAGGTTAAAAGTTAGAAAGTGTGGGAGGACAGCATCCCACTGTCCTTTGCATATACATAAGGAATCCAGTTAATGTACTAAAGGTTTTAAATATAACATGCATGTGTTTGAGTATATATTTATAAAAAATACAATGACAAAAAGATTATGAGATCTTGCTATAGAAACCTGCTTTGTTTTTGAAGAGTAATAATGCCTAGTTATTTTACCAGTCACGTTCTGTAAAAAAATAGAATGATTTTCTGAGAAGTATTTTCTGTTGATAGCTCTTATCAAGTAGACCCACTTCATTTTCTCAGTTTGTGTGTTCATTGATCTGAAAACAATTCTAGAAGTAAAATTGTTTCTGTAATAAGAGTTCTTAATACTTTATCTCTCCCAAGAATTAAATATCCTTGAAGAATAGTTCAGCTCAAAATGTGTGCATGCTATAATTTGAAAAGTTCATTGTGTTTATTTTTCCTCACCCTGACAAGACATTTAGTATTGTTTCCACAAACTTCATGACCTTGGTTATGGTGGACCCATCAATAATTGCAAGGGAGACAAAATAGTATGATTATTATCAGAACTAATTACATTTGTTACATTATAGGAATGGGAAGTAGTGGCAAGATACTGAACATCCTATTGCCATTCCTGTTCTTGTGTTATAAATGTTATTTCCTAGTTGGTTCTATCATTAAAAAAATCTGGGAAAAGTGTATTAAACTGCAAAAACTTGGTTTTTGTGGGACATCCTGTAGCACATAGTTTTTCAATGAATATGTTATCAAGTCGCAACCAATTCAATGTAGTTTGTGGCAGCCACCAAAACGAAGATTCTGGACTATAACAACTACTTTCAAAGTAAATACTGCACAATGAAACATGGAGTAACACTTTCAAACCAGGAACACAAACATTTTCAAATTTTGTTACATACACTGTGTCCACCAAGTTTTTTCTATACTGATTGGCAGCTGTTATCTAAGATTTCATTGGGTGTCTAGTGCCTTTTTTCCTTTGATTTTTCCAATTTTTAAAAAAATACAGCTTAGAAATTATTTTGATTTTTTTTGTGTGCTATATTGAATCAGGTTCCAAAATACTCAAACCTATAGCATCTTGATCCAATTAAGAGTGTATCTGTATATTTTGCTTTGTTATCACAGTAAAGAGATGTAATGTGTATTTTAGATTTATCATTCATATGATTTCTTAATTCCTCTTCAGGATTTTATTAAATCGTTCTGTCTGATGCAGAGAGTATGAGTGTAATTATCAAGCTTTCCAACTTACACAGAACTCCTTTTCTTTGACTCAAAATTTCTACAAGCACAGATTTTTTCCCCCTACAATGATTAGAATACATACATTTGCTAAAATTCTCACTTCTAAAATATAAAATTCTGAAACTCTGCCATTAATTTGCACAAAATAGCAATAATTTATACCTGGCTTTTCTCTCAAAATGGCTTACAATGTAAAAGAACAATATTTAAAATATAGAAAAATGAACATCAAAATAGAATTCGACTATTCATGGTGTTAAAGCATTCACATCTCCAGTTAAAAGAATAAAGAGCAATTTACAAAGATGAGAAGATATTAAAACATGTTCGGTTTAAAGCAGTACTTCATCTCCTAGCCTATTCTTTAAAAACTTTTGAGTTTAAATAACTGGCATAAAAATGTTTCTGCATGCCAGTGGAAGGACAGCAAAGAGGGGGCCATTCTGACCTCCCAGGGAACAGAGTTCCAGAATCTAGGAACAGTCATCGAGAAGGTCCTCTCTCATGTCCCCACCAAACATGCTTGCGATGGTCGTTGGGCTGACAGGAGGGGTTCTGCTGAGGATCTGAAGGCTCAAGCCAGTTCATACAGCGGGATAGCAGTCTGCCAGATAGACTGGGCCTGAACCATATTTATAGATCATAACCAGCATTTTGAATTGTGCCCAGAAACAAACTAGTAGACATTGAAGCTGTTCTAATGGAAGTGTACTATGATTTTGTAATGTACCCCAGTTATCAGTCTGACTGCAGCTCTTTGAATTATTCTGAGCACTCTTCTAGTTCAGCCCCAGCCGTTTACACAGCCTCCCAGTTAATACAGGCTGAAACCCTAATCATAGATCTTTCCTGTTGACTGATCAGGAGTTTCTCTCTCTTTCTGGACTTAGTTTTAGTTTTTTTCACCCCCATTTAGTCCATTACCAATGACAGACACTGGTCTTAGAACCATGACAGACTCCTTGGATTGAAGGGACACTGGATTAGAATCATGACAGTCTCCTTAGACTGAAGTGGAAAGAACAGCTGGGTATCATCTGCTTATTGATAATACTGTGCCGCCAAAAATTGGACAACTTCCCAGTGGTTTCATGTTAAGTAGAATGGGAATCAAAACATAATCCTGAGGGACCGACAGGCCAATTGCCAGGGGTGGAAAAGGACACCTCCCCTTTTGAATTTGCCCCTAAGAGAAAGAACATAGGCATTGTAAAAAGTGCCTTCTTATCCCACTGAGGTGGCCCAGAATGAGACTGTGATCAATTGTATCAAAGGACATTAAGAAGTTGAGCAGAACCAACAGGTCATCTTCCCTATGTCCAGTTCTGATGTAGGTCACCAAAACTTTGTCCCATAATTAGGTCTTCAACCAGATTATAATGGTTCTAGATGACCCATTTCATCCAAAACCTCTGGAATTGAGAAGTCCTCACACAAACATTGCCTTGCCAAAAATGATATGTTGGACACTGATGAGAAATAGTCATTTTAGAGCAGGCATAAGCAAACTTGTATCCTCCAGATGTTTTGGACTTGAACTCCCACAATTCGGCTGTTAGGAATTGTAGGAGTTGAAGTCCAAAACACCTGGAGGGCACAAGTTTGCCCATGTCTGTCTTAGAGGGATTCAGGGATGGCTTACTCAACAAATGTTTTGCAACTGCCTCCTTTAGACACGTTGGAACTTTAGATAAGAGGCATTGTATATCTCCTTCACCCACGCAGCTAATTCCTCTCTGGTCTGTTTAATAGGTCAGGACTGGCAAGAGTCTCAATATAATTATGAAGTTTATCTCTAACACAGCTAATTCTTTTCTCAATGGAATTGATTAATCTGTACCTATTGGATAATTTAAACATAATGTTAAATATCTTAGTAGTAAATCTGCTTTAGACCAGTGTTGGTAATCATGCTGTCCGCCAGACTGCAGTCTTTCCGAGTATTCTTTCCTTTTGGATGACCTGTATAAGGCTTCTGGGACTTGCAGTCTGACAGTATTTGGAGTGCTACCTGATTACCAACCTTTACAGAAATACAAAGCAAATGTTCACTAGTGAATAATCAGAATTAAGTTTAAGATAGCTAGGTTCAATGCTTATTGCAGTATTGTTTTTTTTCTGGACAGACTTGGACAAACTATTAACTTTGTCTCATTTCTCCATCTGTAAAAACTAAAATATCAACTTGCTTCTCTATGTTGTGGTGAAAGATACATATTGCTACAAAACTGTTTTTCAGATTACTGTTTTATATCGAATTACAGAGTTATGTCATAAGGTTATGTTTAGTACTCTGTAATATTTAGAGACTGGGGTAAAAAGCACACTATGAAATGTAGTTTTAGTGTAACCAATTAATTTTGCAAATTTTATTTCTTAGGTTAAATTCTCAATCTGGTGCTACCTTACCAAATGGTCGTAGTTTATGTAAGTATTTCACATTGCATTTGTGTTCCTTGTGTCCTTCAACCCATAGATGTTTTTTAAAATTTATTATTCACTTGCCCCTTTTATCTTCTGATGTCTGCAGTGTTTATCTGCAGCTCAAAGAAACCCCATTGCTACTCTTTAGGCTGAAGGAAAATTGGTTGTAGAGGGGTTTGCAGCCTTTCAGATCAGGATTTTGCAATGTGTATAGAGAATAGATTGGAAGAAGGAAATATGCTCCCTTGGTTGCTGGATTATATTATTTTGCCAGCAGAAATCCAGTACCTTTGCTATGCTTTTCCTTTTGACAGCTTTCAAACATGAAAGACAGTGGTATATATATGGAATAAAAGAGAAATTGTTTTACTTTTATATTATGATTTTTTTTAAAAATTGAGTTACAAGAGATAAATTGTTTTTGCTTTTAAAAAATTATCCCTGACTAAACATCTATTAAAATTAAACAAATAACCAGAAGACGCCAAAAGGTGTCAGTATCTTAAGTAAGGGAATTAGTGTCCTCTTCAACGTGACTGTAATTGATCCTACAATGAAACAAGAGAGCAGAAAACAGATGCCTAGAATGTTTACTAAAATGGTTTTTCCTCAAGATTAAAATTATAACTTAAAACTTCCAGCTCTCAAAAGCTGCTCCCTTCGTGGAGAGAAAAAGGGAGATGGGGACCATGCTTGCATAAATGGAGGCAGAGAAATCAGAAAAAGTTGTCGGTCCAGGAAAAACAGATTTGAAAGCTTGAATCAAAGTTTACTGTTTGACCAGCTAGTAAACAGGTATGTTAGAATATGGCAATAATAACAATTCTGAATGATGCTCTATGAAACTTTCTTACATTATCATTTGCAAATATATGTCCTTGTGATAATGCAAACATTGCCTGTAAGCATTTTGAATATTTGTTTAATTATTACACAGCTATATTTATATCTTGGTTTCCTTACACTTTGATAAGTTCCTGTTTAGCAAGGATTTTGAGCCTCCTTTGTTACTTTAGTGCCTTCTAGTTATGCACAAAACCATCAAAACTATAGCTTATTAGCTTTTGTCTGTAGATTTTTATATTTGGAGATTGCATTGTGTTCTAGTTTTATCATTTAATATTTAAATTGCATTGTGCGTATCTCATGGAAGCAGCTGGTTTTCATTCTCTTCTATAAACTAGTGACAAATGATACCTGAAAGTTACAATTCATTGTGCTTACAAAATCCTATCCCAAAGCTTTCACTGTGCATAGTGTAACCAATGAAAAAAATCAGCTATGTTTTTGTGGGTGGATTATTTGAAGGAATGGGACAGATGAATATGTAGTCTCCTTTTCAAGTTCACTCTTATTTTCTTTCCAGTATATGGCTTATATATTCTATAGGGCAGGGGTGGGATTTACCATAAACATCATTGTCATTGATGTATTTATATAGTGCTCTCAGTGTACAGTTGTTAATCTGATAGTTCCCTGCCTTTGAACTTACAATCTAAAAAAAGTGTGCAGCTTTCCAAATCTTGCACTTTAGAACTCAGAAATTCTGGCTATTATAGCCAGTGGTGAGATGCCTGAGAGCTGCATTCTACCAATGTCTGGAGGGCTAAATGATTGCTTATCCTCATGTAGGGTTATACCATCCTGCCCTGTGAGTATAATGCCGAATTACTTTCTAGAGCAGTGGTTCTGAACTGGTTGGTCCCCAGGTGTTTCGGCCTACAACTCTCAGAAATCCCATCCAGTTTACCAGCTGTTAGCAGGCATGTAGCCGGGGGGGGGGGGGGCCTCGGGGGGCTTCCGCCCCCCCCCCCCGAAATTCTCATGGTGGTTTCCGAAAAGGCCTTACTGGTGCATTATTTAAACTGTTATGTTTATTCATATCATGATCTGATCACCATACTCAATATATCCCATATGCATGGGGGTATTGGGGTAACGAAACAAAAGGTTTGCTAGGGTAGACCCTCTTTCACTCAGACTCATCCCCCCCCCTCCCCGAATCGCCCCCTGAATTTTTTTCCCCCCCCCCCCCCCCGAAACGAAATCCTGGCTACGGGCCTGGCTGTTAGGATTTCTTGGAGTTGAAGGCCAAAACATCTAGGGACCCACAGGTTGAGAATCACTGTTTAGAGAGAGCCTCATCTTTTCTAATATACACATTTCTAAAGGGATACCAAGTATACCTGATCTTATTAGAGACTTGTGGGTTTTAGATTTTCAGGAAGTATTTGTCCAAGATTGTGGGGGACAGAAAACCTCAGATTTTGAAATTTTGTAATATCAGCTTCAGATGCTCCTAGCTTCCTTTTAACAGCTAGGTAACAGTCTTGTTTTGCCCTTCTCTGTACACTTTTCAGGCCTTTCAAATAATATCAAATAAGGTTGAGCACTATTTTAGTCTCCAGGCTATATTCAGTAGATCTTAGCCACTTGCATCTGCTTTGGAACACTTTTGAGCATTTTGCTTTTTTATCTTTCACTTTATTTCAAAATGTTATTGGTTTGATTGGAGCTAATTTGAAATGTGTGTTTATTTTAATATCTGAGGCAAAAGCTCTGCGAACTAACTTGAAAGAAACATTCTTATGGGCTACATTTTAATGTATCCTCAACCATTTCAATGTACTTGTAGCAAGAAGCATAAAGATTATTTTGTTCCCAATGAGGAAAGGGGGTAATTGACACAAATGTCTCACTTTTCTGCAGTCACTTTGCCTTCAAAAAAATCTACTTTGGAGAGTTGGGGGTTACTCATAGTAGGAGTGAAGATGATTTCTTTTTCAATTCTACCAGTATGATCTTTTGCTACTTCAAAAGTCTTCCATGGACAGAAGAAGCCTTTTGTTGTTGCAAGGACATGCTATATTTCAGCCCATTGTGTAAAATCGGATGGATTTATTATTCTGAAAACGGAGCAGTATTTAATATTTGTATTTATATATTTTAGTACTGCTGAAGCTGTTCTTCAGGAAATGGACAATATTAACATCAGAAGAAATAGGCGATCAGGTGAAGTGGAACGTTTGCGCATGTGGACAGATACAGAATTCGTAAGTTTTATTTTTAATAATTCTAAATTTGAAATACCATACATTACTCAATTATATTTTAAGCACTGCATGTATTTTATCTGTCACAGTTAAAATATACATTAATAAAATATTGAATGTCATCAATTTTAAAGAGAAATCATACTAAATTTTTATGGCTACTCATCAGTTGTAGAGCAGAAGAAGAAGGGAATATTTAATGCAGCATTCTAGGTAAAAAATATACTGGGGGGGGGGACGGGACATTTCAACAGTAGCAATGTTAAAGTGGATGTAGACTCACATAATATGTATTAGTCTGACCCAATTTATTTGCTTGCGTTGTTATAAAGTGTATATGCACATGAGTATTCTAGAAGGGGTTAATGTAATTGTGATTTTAACTACGTATGTTTTTAACTTTTGTATTGTATGCTTTTATCTGTTGTAAACCTCCTTGAATCCGCTTGGTGGAGAAAGGTGGGGTAAAAGTACCTTAAGTAAAATAAAATTAATTCCTGTGATACCTTAAGGAACTTCACATTTAAAAGTTGGTCACAGAAAGTATAAAAATGTACTGCAACTCTGTTGAAATACAGTTACAAATATGTGGTTAAATGGAAACCAGCTGAGGAGGCAAGAAGCCTTCCTGTTTTATGAGCAGGCTGAATTGCACAGAGCTGCCCCTCCCAGGAAACTTATTGGGCAGAGGGGAAACTGTGGCTCTGTTTCATGGAATCCAATAGTCTGTTGTTCAGTGGAGCCTCACTTTAGAGCAGCAACTACTTGTACTCGTAGAAGATGAGAGAATTCAGACATGACAAACAGGGTTCTTGCGATTGCGAGTCACACCATGCAGATTGGGCTCACACCCTAAACTGGAATGCTGGCTGAAATAGTGAGCCTCAGGGATATAAAAATCAAATACCTTTCTATGTCATAAACATGTTAGATGGATGGGTAGATAGATACACAGCATTATTTGTTTCTTAGTGCCCATATGTGTTGTTGTACCTCCAGAAATAAGATGGAAAGTTGGAATACCCAGTAGTCTGATTAAACTCCAAACACACATGCCTGTGGTTTACATTCTTCACTCTCTCTCTCAAAACATGTTAATTATTTTCCAGAGTGATTGAGATTTATAATAGATAAAATTGATTATTTAAAAGACATTTAAACTCCCAAACATTATGTGTCTGCTGTCTCTTCTATTTCTCTGGAAGACTATCCCAGAGAGCACCTAAATGCCTGTGGATGGATGAGTAGGTGATGTTTAAGTGTGTACTTTTTAAGGACAACTATAAACTGATGGTGCAATATGAAGAATATGTGAAATGTTTACATAACTTTATTTCAAGAGTAGATTCATTACATTTAAAATAAGATCCATATTCATTCAGAAAATACTTCTTTAGGAATCTCTAGGTTCTCTGGAGTGATTCTATTGTCAGATTCTGGCAATTGACTATAGAGTTGTCTTGGAGGAGCAGAGATGTTCTATTGTGTAAAAAATATTTTTGAAAGTGGAGGGCCTATTCTCTTTGTGTGTGTGTGTGTCTGTATGTTTGTATATTAATATGTATGTTTATCTGTCAATTTGAGATATATATATATATATATATATATATATATATATATATATATGCAGACACATATGTACTTTTTCATTAGCCAGCCAGCATGCTTTATTGGCTTTTAATCCTTGGGCCATGACTCTGGAGGACAAGGTTCAAATCCCCACTTTCCCATGAAAACCCATTGTGTAACTTTGGACCAGTCATATTATCTCAGCCTCAAAGAAAAGCAATGGCAAACTCCTTCTGTACAAATCTTGCCAAGCAAGGTGTGAAAGATTTGCCTAATAATTGTCTTAAGTTCAAAATGACCTGAAGGCACAACAACCTATTATTAAAATATTAAGTTATTAAAATAAAAAATAAAGTTATCCAGAAAGTAACTTAATTTTTATCTTCTGAGATGGTTATGGATTGCTTTTTAATTAATACAAATTAATATATATAGGTGAGCAATTTGTGTCAATATTGGCAATTTTAAAAAATTAAGTTAGTAATTTCAATCATTTTTTCTTTTGAATAAGTTAGTCCTTCTTAATTTATCTGATGCAGGGGAATGGCATTTTTCACCTTGAATGTGTCAGGGACTGGTACCATATGTGTGTTCTTTGCTACAACTGTTTCTAAATGGAATTCTCAATGGACCAGCAGTCAGAAGCTTTTGAACTGGCACTATTTCATGGACTTCTACAGGAGTACCACCTATTTAAACAGTGGCTTAAATCAGTGATACAAACTTGCTTTAGATCAATTTACTCTGCCAGGATCTAGGCCAGTGGTTCTCAATCTGTGCGTTCCCAGGTGTTTTGGCCTACAACTCTCAGAAATCCCTGCCAGTTTACCAGATGTTAGGGAGTTGAAGGCCAAAATATCTGGGGACCCACAGGCTGAGAACCATTGATATAGGCAGATAACTGTGTGGTTTGGAAATCAAACATTGACATTTTACTGTATACAGTGCCAATTATTTTGGGATGCCTTTATTCTAGGAAAACATGGATATGTATTCACGTGTTAAAAGAAGGAGGAAATCATTGAGGAGAAATAGTTATGGAATCCAAAACCACCATGAAGTTTCCACAGAAGGGGAAGAAGAAGGTAATGATGGCAGAAGTTAGATACGCATTACTGGAAATAATTGTAAAACAAATAGAATTTCAACTGTATTACATTGAAATCCCCCCCCCCATCCCCCCCCCCCCCCCCGGTCTAAAAAGTTGGCATGTCTTGGAAAGGATGGCTTCCTAGGATTGCTAGGGTTTTTTTTTTTTGAAGTTCATGCTATTTGCTGATGGCGTGGCTGTTTCAGTTTGGGGAAACCATGTTCTCCCTATTTGTTTTGCAAGAAGTGATTTCAAAAATGTGCTAGTCTCATCAAAACAAGGGATTTAAATATGATGCAGATCTCCTTGAAAGAAGAAGTTTACGGGTGTGCTGGTCTCCTTGAAAATAGGGTTTTAAAGATGGTGCAGGTCCCCCTTTTTCTCTCTCCCAAAATTGGAGCTCCAAAAAGCAAGGTGCATCTTGGAGTTGAACATTTCTTTATTCCCACAATTGAAGCTCCAAAAAGGGGGCTCTGTCTATGAATAGTTGCTGGGATTTATAGCTCACCTACAATCAAAGAGCATTCTGAACTCCAACAATGGAACTGAACCAAACTTGGCATACAGAACTCCAATGACCAACAGAAAATACTGGAAGGTTTTGGTGGAGTTTTGGAGTTGTAGCTCACACACAACCAGGGAGCACCATGGATTCAAACAATGGTGGATCTGTATCAGACTTGGCACTAATCCTTAAAATGCCCAAATGTGAACACTGGTGGAGTTTGGGGGAAAATAGACCTTGACATTTGGGAGTTGTAGTTGCTGGGATTTATAGTTCACCTACAATCAAAGAGCATTCTGAACCCCTCCAACAATAGAATTGGGACAAACTTCCCACACAGAACCCCCATGACCAACAGAAAATACTGTGTTTTCTGATGGTCTTTGACGACCCCTCTGACACCCCCTCACGACCCCCTCCAGGGCTGCCGACCCCCAGGTTGAGAAATGCTGCTGTAGAGGCTATATATCCTTTTATATCCTCAGATAAGGGAAATAAATACTTATGGCCTCTTTAGTTTTAGTGCTATGCTTTTTTTGCACAATGTGTTTGGTTGAATTAAACAAAATCTTAAGCTGCCAGGATGTTTTAAGAATTATTTCAGCAGTTTAAGTGTTGAAATTATAACAGTGTTCTTGTGTGTTGCAAGGTATCTTTTAAGGGCAGTGTCATTTGAAATGTGGGTTAGTAGTTTTTTAACTGTAGCAAATATTTTTTTAATACTTGTTAGAAAATTCATCCTGAGATATTTCAGAAAAAACTCTGACCTAGTTATACATTTCATTATATAAATACATTTCCATATGAAGAGGAATCCTTTAAAAGATGTTACACAAGAGTTTTGTGAGGACGATGTCAAATCTTCATGTGTTTTTTTCTAGAGTCACAAGAGGAGGATGGAGATATTGAAGCTGAAGAGGCAGAAGGAGAAGAAAATGATCGTCCCTATAATCTGAGACAAAGAAAAACAGTTGAAAGATATCAAGCGCCTCCTATAGGTAAGACAGAAAAGGAAAACAGTTCTATAGATTGGACAGACAACTGAACTTACTCTTGCACAGTCATGCTGACCAGACTTTCTGAAGCAAAATGATACCTTTTGTCTGGAAGAATTACTTTTAAGAATGCTGGAAGCAACAATCCCTCTCATGGTGATTATTCTTCACATTGGACTGTGAACAGTGCATTGTCCACAAAAGGAATATATAATTTAAAATGTTTTCTTGAAAATTAAAGTAGCTGTTTGCGGTGTTGCAGCTTTCTTTCTCTGTCTTGAAGTTATTGTAATTTTAAGTTCCCAAACTAATGGGAACTTCTGATCTGAATGTTGAGTAATACTAGGAAGGCTCTGGTTAAACTATTCACCCCTAGTAGTTGATTTCCAACCAATTGCTCCAATTTCCCAACTTCATGGTGAGAAGAACCATATTTGCCACTTTGAGCTTGTTTTGTGGAAGGATGGGAATAATATTTCCCATGTCTTGCCTATGGTTTTATTCTTGAAATACAGCATGAAGAAAGAGTCCTGTAAAACTTGTTCTCTCAACTTTTTTATTCTACTTAACTTTCCACTTCACTGGATCTGTATACGGTACTTGTTGAGTTGTTTATTTAAGGAAGTATTTATTATTCAAAATTATGAACTTGCTTCTGTTTTAATTAATTCTTACTTGTCCTTTAGGCATGAAGAGCGTGAGCACAGATCTTGGGCTTCTGTGCCTATTGTCCTCTTTACATCATCAATGTCATTTGTTATTCATATTGATTGATTGATTGATATCCTGCCTTTCTATCAAAATGAGACTCAAATTAGCTACAGAAAAGGAAAGTTTTGCTGATGGCAAAAATATAGGACGAATCATAATTAAAGTATACCAGCATTCTAAAAAGAGTAGCAGATAATTTCTTGGGATGGCACAGAGGAGGAATCCATCACCAAAGAGTTTATCCCATGTGCCAGTCCACATGCTGGCAGGACAAAATTATGATCTTCTATTTCTGGATTTTTCTTTTTCTGTTGCTGCTTCTCCCTCTTCTGAAATTGTTTTTAAAATCCCACACTCCAACTGAACACACATTAAACCTTATCTGGGTAAATTTAGAAAAATATTAGAGATAGACAAAGGATAAATAGAGAAGTCAAGAAAGTCAGAACTGAAAGCTAAAAACATACTCCCTAAGACAACGAAGCAGCAGATTGGAAGAATGAGAAATTGAAATGAAACAAACCCCAGTTAGCCACTGCCTAGGCTGCCACTAACAATGTAATGTGGTAAGAGGGATTTGGCAGCTCAATTTAAAGGATGGGCAGGTTCATATAGAATAAGTCAAGTAACAAGCTGTTTAGACATTTAAAAGTGAATGCTGGTATCTTAAATTTTACTTTAATATCATTTAAATTTCTGATATTCTCTGAGTCAGCAATATAAAGCTGTATTATTGTTTTTACTGTGAAAGCAGTTTGATTGTGGACAGATGGAAATCAAGAATACTTGCATTATAGAAAATTATTTAAGGGATTTGAGCGAAACAGGTTTGGAGAGAAGAAGCAGAAGAAGTTGCTAGAGCATATCTGTGCTCAAATGTCTGATTTGTGAGTTGTGTGAAGAGACATAACAATAAATGGGAGTGTAAATCTATAATAAAGTAAACTGTACACAGTGTTATGTTGGTCAGGTTTGCTTTAAATTGTATTATTTTTTTCAGTGCCAGCTCACCAGAAGAAAAGGGAAAATGCATTATTTGACATTCATAGATCTCCTGCAAGAAGAAGCCATATCAGGTAAATTGTAGTTCTGGAATATTTCCTAATTATAGTTGTGAATTCCTGGATTTTCAGTAAGATTTTTGGGTGGAAAATGCTAAGTTAAATGAATGCATAAAACAAAAATATTAACTGCAAGTACATTGGGTGGATATTTTTAGTGTATGATAGTTTTGCTCAGTGGTTTATATTTATCAGTAGTTTTTTCCTGTCCCCTGATGACAATGATAATGATGTTTGTGTTTATTTATACCTCGCTCTTTCTCTCCACATGGAGACTCAAAGCAACTTACATTAAAAGTATTTCAGTAACTTTCTGCCCACTTTGCTATTCTGTTACAAATATTTTTAAGATGGTTACACCATGTTATAAAATACCTTGTTTCACCTGTAACAGTTTGGGCTAATGAATTCCCACTGTTCAGGTCTCATTGTGTAAGATGTCGAGGGTTTGCTGAACCATAGCTTTTATTATATTTTGATTGATTTTATGGTTTGCAGTTGGGTTGCAGTTCAACCTTCCAACTATGCTGGAAGAAAATAAATGTGAGCTTTAGAATGATATTTCCATAACCTCAATTCATTAAGGAAGCACTGTGTATGCTTGTTATTTACATCTTTCAAGTTGTAAGTGCTTTTGTTGACATTTATTGTAAATACTATCCAGTTCATTATATACTATTCAGCTGAAATATTTCATTGTTTGCATAGAAGAAAAAAGCATGCGATTCATAGTAGTGATACAACCTCTTCAGATGAAGAACGCTTTGAAAGAAGAAAATCTAAGAGCATGGCAAGAGCAAGAAACCGGTAAGAATATTCATTTGTTTGTTCATCTGAAGATAATATTTTGATTCAAAATGTCCTTGGATGAGTTATGTCAGACATATGAAATCACCTTATCATATTTAAATATGTTAGGCCTGTGGCCTTTTGCATGCAAACCATAGGCTGGTGAGCTGTGCACATCCCTGCCACAGAACTTCAGATTTCTTTCCACATATTGTAGAAAGGATTGAATTTTCCCTTTCCATTTCAGAAGATTTTTTTGTGTGTGTCAGGAGCGACTTGAGAAACTGCAAGTCGCTTCTGGTGTGAGAGAATTGGCCATCTGCAAGGACGTTGCCCAGGGAACACCTGGATGTTTTACCATCCTGTGGGAGTCTTCTCTCATGTACCCGCATGAGGAGCTGGAGCTGACAGACAGAAGCTCACTCCTCTCCTCGGATTTGAACCACCGACCTTTCGGTCAGCAGTCATGCCGGCATAAGGGTTAACCCATTGTGCCACTAGGGACAATGTGAGAAGTCCCTGCATGAGAGGAGGACAGGGCAATGCATAATCCCCTATCAAATTCCTTTCCATAGTTGTTCCCCTCTTTCTTTTTGTCCATTGACTGGGGCCACTTCTGTACTGTGCTTATATCCCAGGTTATTTGCTTTGAACTAGCTTATGTGAGTCTTTACTGCCATATAATCTGGGATAAGAAGATAATTTGGGATTATTTATTTATTTTGTGTCAAAAGCATTGCATAAATAAATAAGTTTGAAACTGATAAAATAAAGGGATCACAAACTATTTGGTCTACATAGTTTTAGACCAAAAACGAGCAGCAGCGACTGCATTGTCTGTAGCTTTGACCAGTTCTTCCTCTGTACATGGAGGGCAAGCATACAGATGCTGAGTAGTTTGTTCTGCTCCACAGAAACACAAGGTGGAAGATTCTTTTAGGCAGTGCCATTTTGCCAGGTTGTCTTTTGATCTGCCCATTCTACTTCTGAGTATATTCAGGGACTTCCAAGTTGCCCATTCTTGGTTTGCCCCTGGAAGCAGATCCCATCAAGTTGGGATTTCCTGGTTTAGCTGGCTAGAGGATATACTCTTGCTGTTGTTAGGAGACCATTAAGAGGAGTGGTGGTTCTCATGGAACTTTTCCTTGATTTTAGTCTACTTGGTCAACTCAGGTGCGTTTCAGGTACATGTTCCCTACAGTGACTTTGTCTGTTTTCACTTCCTAATGCATTACTATAACTTCATTAGAAGTTGAAAGTTCTGTGTTTTGGTTTTTAAATCAAACAGATGTCTGCCTATGAACTTCAGAGCAGAAGACTTGGCCAGTGGCATCCTGCGTGAACGAGTGAAAGTTGGCGCAAGCTTGGCTGATGTTGATCCAATGATTCTTGACAAATCGGTATGCTCCATCTCCTTGTTTTCTAGTTTTATAGTTTACACATCTGTGCAAAAATAATGTTGGCATCTCTAATCTGAAGCATTGTAAAATCAGATTTTAAATGTACAATGTATTTGACCCATCTAACTAAATTATTGCAGCCGAACTGCCTTTTATAGACAAAAGATAGACAGCACTGAGCAATGATTTTAATTTGAGATGGATTGCTGCACTTCCAAATGTTACAGATGATGTCAGTTAAATAAATCTGGCACTGAGTACATTCTGTAAACTTTTGGTGATTATTTGTAAAACCAATTTACCTTTAATCTCTCTCTTAGGTGCGCTTTGATAGCATAGGTGGATTGAGCAATCATATTCACGCACTTAAAGAAATGGTTATATTTCCTCTTCTGTATCCTGAAATATTTGAAAAATTCAAAATTCAACCACCAAGGTAGGTGGATCCCCCCCCCCCCCTTATATGTATTGGAGTAGACACTAATGGAAAATATTATCCTTTTCTGATTGATTTCTGTATTCATACCCATATCTTTTTTCAGAAACCTGTGAGATTCTCAGGATCAGGTTTGGAGGGAATGTGTAGGGAGTGGCAGAGAGGAAGGTGACATTTTATTTTGGAAACAAGGTTCACCTATGTGAACAGTTGTGGACTTGGAGGTAAAAGTGGTTTGAAGATAGAGGTGCCAATGTAAAGAGCTGGCAGACCGAATCCTTTCTCTACTTATTGCATGGATCAGCTATTTAGCAAATTTCCATAATACCATGTAAAGTTTAGCTAATACTGGTTGATACTACACTCTACAATTCAAAACCCCTTGTAACTAACTTTCTTGATGCAATATGACTTAATTTGGACAGGATATGTGTGTTTCAAAAGTAGCCTTGGAGTATTTAAACAAAAGTTAAGCTTCCTTTTGGATTGTCCAATCCCTTCAAAATGCACAGAACGCCCTGTTAAATTGTGGTCAGACTCAGAACCCATGCAGTATGTTGAGGTACTGCATAATTGAATCCTCTTTATTGACCTTATAGCAGAATGTGTTTAAGAGATGATTTTAAAGCAGGGGGGCATCTTGGACTGTGTTTCACTGTGAAGGAAACTATTGTGAAGGGTGTTTCAAAATGATAGACCCAATTTCAAAGCAGTATATTTCACAAAGGCAACATGGTACAATTACACAAAAGGCTACAAACTGTTTAATGATTTACCAAGTTATCAAATTTTGCAAAACATTTTAAAGCAGAAACAAATCTAAAAAATAACCCTGCAAATTAGGCTTTATATTGCAGGGTTGTCACCTTGAAAATGTCTGAGGCTGGGGACTGTTTGTGTGCTGGGAGAGGCACCTAGTGGTAATCATGTGAAGCTCTATGCCCCACCCTTTCAAGGCATAAGAGTTTCATTCATTGGTGGTTTGTGGTTGCAGAGATATAGCAATTTCAAATTGGATCAATCTTTTTGAAGACTGGCAGAAGATTGCTAGTCAATCTCAGAAGTGTGTCTTTCAGAGCCTTTAAAATGAGTGAGCAACTGCACATGGGACAGAGGTCATTTTTCATTCCTTTACTTCCCAGGTGGGCCATACTGGCACATTTTGTCATGAGGTCATTTTCAGATGCCATTTGGGCTGATTTTTTTAAATTGACCTGCATTTTTTGTAAGACCAAGAAGCACAGTGGGTTAAACTGCTGAACTTGCTGACCAAAAGGTTGGCGGTTTGAATCCGGGCATTGGGTTGAGCTCCCGCTGTTAGGCCCAGCTTTTGCAAATGTGGGTAGATCAATAGGTGCCGCTTCTGTGGGAAGGTAATGACACTCCATGCAGTCATGCTGGCCACATGACCTTGGAGGTGTCTACGGACAACGCTGGCTCTTTGGCTTAGAAGTGGAGATGAGCACCACCCCCCAGAGTTGGACACGACTAGATTTAAGGTTAGGGGAAACCTTTACCTTTACTTTTAGGAAGCTTTGGAGTGGGGGAGGCTTATGAGTGACACTCAGAAGTGAGGTGCATCCCAGGCCTATGATTTGTCCGTTTGTGCTTCAAAAGGTTATCAAGAAGCGCACAAAATTAGAGTAAATTGTTTATACCATGACAAATTTGTATGAAAGTTAGTTTTTCTGATGGAAGCAAAATGTTACGATTTCATTGACAATGCTTGCTATTCTTTAGTGCGCGGCTTCCCTAGGGAACCGTTTCTGATGTTCCTTTTAATAATTGATGGTCATATGTAACAGCTAATTGCCCTGAAAGTTGACATATCAATTAGAAGCAAAAGATTTAAGAGTTGTTTTTGTGCACATAAATGATCAGATCCTTTATAAACAATATCTACCAAACAGAATCACTGTGTGACATTCTCTAAATTATTCCAGTTCTTTTGTTTTTATTCTTACTTTGTACTAACTTGAATTTCCTTAGGCTTATTGAAATATTGATGAATGATTGGTTAATGAAACTCCTGCCATGAGGGTCACAACTATCAGCTTTGATCACACAGGGAAAAAAAGAAATAGTGATTACTATGTTTGTCCATTTGTCTTCAGGGGCTGTTTGTTTTATGGTCCTCCTGGAACAGGTAAAACCTTGGTAGCTAGAGCTTTGGCCAACGAATGCACCGAAGGGGAGAGAAAAGTTGCTTTTTTTATGAGGAAAGGAGCAGATTGTCTCAGCAAGTGGGTCGGTGAATCTGAACGACAACTTCGACTCCTCTTTGATCAAGTTAGTAGACAGTGTTATAATCTTCATAGTTTGACCTAAATGAGATAGAGATGCTTTTGGTAAACATTGTAAGTGATGGCAAAATCATTCCTATGTGATTTGGGAAGGCAGTGACAAAAATGAGCAAACTGACAGGGTGAGAAGGAAGTCCAAACCAGGAAACATTGTTGGTTGAACTGCATTTATCTGCATTTATTGAAAACTTATCACGGAGTCAGTTTTGGCTACAGAACATCATGATATCATTTGTGATAGTCAGAGTCAGTGCATGAGGGAGAAACGATTTGATGGTATTTAAATAGACCACAGTTGTGAAAAGAATAGAAACGATTTTGTGACTTAACCATGAGTAGTCATCAAAGATAAATGATGAAGGCTTTTTTGGCCTTCCCCTAACATTACTTCTAATCTAAAACAGAAGTCAGAATTTCATTCACACTTAGCATGATTCATGGGCAGCAATTCACCCAAAACATCTGGAGGACAAAAGTTTGAGAACTGCTGCATTCGGGGTTTTTATTTATGAACATGTGCAGAGTGATGGTGTTGTGGGTCTTAATGATCCTTCTGTGAACAGAGAACTTGCATTTAGCATTTCCCTCTGCAAGCTGGCATGTCTCTCAGAGAAAAATCACACAGGGCTTTGTTTAAGTCAGCGTTTCTCAACCCGAGGGTTGGGACTCCGGGGTGATGGTCACGAGGGGGTTTCAGAGGGGCCGGCAAAGACCATCAGAAAACACAGTATTTTCTGTTGGTCATGTAGGTTCTGTGTGGGAAGTTTGGCCACATTCTGTCGATGGGGTTCAGAATGCTCTTTGATTGTAAATCCCAGCAACTACAACTCTCAGATGTCAAGGTCTATTTCCCCCAAACTCCACCAGTGTTCATATTTGGGCATATTGAGTATTTGTGCCAGGTTTGGTCCAGATCCATCATTGTTTGAGTCCAGAGTGCTCTCTGGATGTAGGTGAACTACAACTCCCAAACTCAAGGAATGCCCACCAAACCCTGCCAGTATTTTTGGTTGGTCATGGGAGTCCTAGCAAACACAGTCTGTTTAAGTAAGAATTTGGTACTGGCCATCTTTCTTTTTTATAACATGTCCATAAATGTTAACTTTCTGATGGAAGGATGGATGTTTTGGAGAGAAAGAAACAGAAATGGATGTCAGAAGAAAAATAACTGCAGTTCCTTTAAAGTAGATGAGCACTCACAAAAGAAACTCTGTAGTATTCGAATGATATGTTTTAGATGTGAGGTTTGTAGACATAATCCCCAGTGAGGTCAAGCGATACCTTAGTTATAAATGCAACATGTATAATACTCCTGATAGTACTGCTTAGGAAAATATATTTGACCATATTACTTCTTAATTTATCTCTTGATTTGGTAAACTTTCTGGAATAATTATCAGTATGTAGTATCTTAAATCCTACCCATTTAAGTTTAGTGCTGTAAATATGCAAGTTAATCTAGTCCTTGAAATGGGGAATATTTTTTGTGTGTTTTGTAATTCAGATTGTTTGTTGCTTACCAGGCATACTTGATGAGGCCATCTATAATATTTTTTGATGAAATAGATGGCTTGGCTCCAGTCCGTTCTAGCAGACAAGACCAGATTCACAGGTATGTGAAAGTTGAATCTACAGCTGATCAAGTGAGAAACCTTTTCATTTTAGAAATGTGCATTCAACTCATTTTTTTTTAGCTTACATAAAGATTATTATTTTAATTTGGGTTTTAAAATATTGAAATGCATAGCATTAAAATGATTGTTAAGCACATTGTTATTAATACAGAAATACCGTATGTTTTAAGTTGTATTTTTGGCCCCTTTTCTGTATTTACCCCCTGTTGACTCTATAAAGTAAGCTAAATTTTTAACCGGAGCTTAAGACATTATTTAAGATAGGTAATTTGTTTTGTCATGAATTATTCACACTAAACTTTGAGTTGTTACTATGGAATCCTTTCACACTCCAGTTATAGCACTATGATTCCACTTTAACTGTTCATCCTATGGAATCCTGGGGTTTGGAGTTTGCTGAGGCGGTAGAGGAGCCATCTTCCCCTAAATTGTAAATTCAAGATTAGAAGAGCAGCATACTTTTATAGCGTTTGTTCATCTGAAATTACTGGAATAAGGCTGTTTGATGGAATTTGTGTGATGTTCTTTGTATAGCTTTCCTCTAATCAGAGCAGAAGCAACTTGTAAAACAAAAAAAATGTTTTTCTTACTGTAGTACTTTGCTGGCAGAGCAATTAATGATAATACAGTAAAGTTCATGTTTTACCATTCTTCTTTTTTTGTCTATATGGTTTTTCAGGGTTTAAAGCCTCATGTCTTACCTAGAGATGAAAGACAACACTACTTCAAAGGATGAATAGTTATTCATTTTGGGGCTGTATTTTAATGGAATGGTCATTATTAAGTATATTTATGTTTTACTCTTGAAAGTATCTAAAAGATTAGTTCATCTCAAATGCATGTGTTAATATTGTGTACGGAGTTATATTCAATAGGAATACGTTAGAATTTAAGTATTTTTCCAAATGAATTGAAATGTTGTGTCTCAGCTCTATAGTGTCTACTCTACTTGCTCTCATGGATGGACTTGACAACAGAGGTGAAATAGTTGTTATTGGTGCTACCAACAGACTTGATTCAATAGATCCAGCACTCAGGAGACCTGGTCGTTTTGACAGGGAATTTCTTTTTAGCTTGCCTGATCAAAAGGTAAGGTTTTCACACTAAATGGAAAAAAAGAAATTACTGTAAACTGTCCTTTAAGTGAATCTTATTGTTATATTTTAACTGGTATTGATCTGTTTTCTTTTGACTTCTTACATTTTATATTTGTTTTTAGGCTTCTAGGCATTTTTTACCATTTACATTGTTTTAAAAGGATTGCGTTTTATTGTACATCTCCCTAAATTCTTCAAAGAGAGAATGGGATATAAAGATTTTAATAAAAAAATAAATTATAATTTATCTTTAGTCCACTAATTTTGACCTTTGCCACATTTCGCCCCAAATTTGTGATAAATATCTAAGTTCATTTACCACAGCCTTGCTGACAGAAAGCAAATGTTGTTAAATAAAATAATGGTGAGATTGTTGAAAGTTCAAGTTGAACAAATAATTGTGAGATTTTGAAAGTTCAAGTGCAAGGTACCCTTTCCTTTAGCATTTTCGCATTGGAAATGTTAGCTTTGTCTGTAACGCATTGCAGCCCAAAATAGGGTTTTGAAGCTTATGAGAAAGAACCATTAACTCGTTAACTATAAAGATATGCTTTAATTTGCTTTGGGATGAAATATATTGTTCAGTGTTTGCCCCGTGTATTTCCTTTTATTGTCACCCTTGCTTTGGTGCATCATTTTGCCATAATCTTTCTTGATATCATCTTTTATACACTTGATCTTAGCCAAAAGGCCAAGAAATGCATCTTCCCTCAAAGCTGCTAAGAGGCAGGCTGTTTGGAATCCCTAACTTCCAAAGACTATGTCTCTGTGAAGAAAACAATAGAACACATTCTGCTGCAGTTCCGTAGCCAGCTTTTATATCCAATTCTGTCCTACATGACTAGCCATCCCCCGCAGGGGATTGTTAGTTATGTCTTAGAGGACAAGTGCCACAGGGTGACTCTCATAGTTGCAAAATTTCTTGCAATAGCAACGAGGTTGAGAAGGAAACTAATCTCTGATAGGGGTATTATATAAAATCATGTACATGTGTCTTGCATAATGAACTTCTCCTGAGATGGGAGAATTTATAAATGCCTATTCCTTTTTCTTCTTTTTTAAGGATTTTTAAAAAATGTCTATTCTTTATGGGGTTTGTGGACCATAATAAATTGTTGCTGATATCATCTCTTATACTGTTCTATTCTATTAGTTTGCCAAATGTTATATTTTTGATATGTACCTGCAATAGTGATTTTTTTGGTAAACATTAAATAGTAAGGTACATAACTTAATATTAAATAGGGGAGTACAAAACAACTGTTATTTTTTAGATTTTTTTGAAATATCACAGTTTTATGAAAATGATACAAGACTAGGCATTCTAGTGACAGTGTTTCATTAGAACAGGTACGGGAAGCTTTTGCTGGTACGTTCTGCTCCTGGAATGGTTTAAAAAATAAAGTCTAGCAAAACTTGTCAATGAACAGTAAGAGTGGGAGATGATTTGTATTGTAATGCAAGTCTTAATAGTACCTTTTCTGTTTCTTTACAAGGCAAGAAAGCACATTTTACAAATTCATACCAGGGACTGGAACCCCAGATTATCAGATCATTTTTTAGAAGAGTTAGCTGAAAAATGTGTCGGTGAGTGGTATCATATTAGTGCTTACTTATTTGGTCTTTGTTCTTAAGAGCTTTTGCCTTCGCTTTGGAAGTGTGCTTGATGCTTAGTTGTTAGATATTGCACATCTGTTCTGTTCATTGATAATATATTTCTAATTTCCTGCACTTGGATATATATTAGAATTTTCAATATACATAATTTATTCTCATGCTACCTTTGTTGATGCCTCCTTTCACACCACTAATCCTCAGTAAGAGATGACATAATGTTGAAAACCTTGGCATTATTCCTTTATAGAATTTAACATGGAAGGCTACCCTAAAGCTCATTGGATGCAGTTCTTTTAGAGGAAAAATACCACCAGATTTTTTTGAACTACAAATAAAATTAGGAATAGTTTACATTCTTAGATGTGTGGATGCTAATCATGCCCATTTTCCCCCTCCACTGGAATTATTTACACTGAGAAGACATCTGAGCTAATAATAATCAAAAATATGATCTAGAATCTGCTGGTAAATGTCACAAGTTATGTTTTCTGTCTCTTAACAGCTGGCCACTGTGAATCTGAAACGTACTATGAAACACCAGACATAAAAGCAGAGACTAAGAGATGGTTTGTTCAAAATACAAATAATACTTAGTATATTGGCAACTGTACTTGTTGTTTCCTAAATATGGTAGTTTAGGAGGAAACATGACAAATGAGACATATTTAACATTGTAAACTAACCCTTAAAAATAGCCACAGCATCGTCAAAGCAGGTTTCATCTTCTGTCAATCTGGTGCTAGTCAACCCTTTTTGTTTTTGGCAAAGCACCGGCATCAGATCATTTGGGTCGACATCAAAGCAGTAACATTTTAAATTGAACAGCGTCCATTCAGTCAGCTACTGTACATCCGAATTATCCTCTTCATCCACAGGGACATCTACCTTCGAAGCAACATTCCTCCACTTTTGATCTGCAAAGACCCCAACATCTTCTGGTGAGAAGAAAGCCAATATCCAGCAAATGACAAATTAAGCTTTGCGTGGTGTAAGAAAGCATGTGCCGAATCCCACTCCATGTAGATTCCTCTAGAGATTCTGCAGAAGGCATTACGTATGAATCAGATGATGCAAAATGTTTTTTCATCTCTTGTTGACTATTTTTAAAGTTCAAACAATTATATTTTGAGGTTGCAGGGAAATTTCCTGTTGACCTGGTAAGAAAATATGCCCTTACTGTGGTGTCACCCAGTAAGATAAGCAAGAAAAATCAAAGTTGGGGGGGAATATAATGTCTTTACTCTGACTTTCCCTCTCAGCATAGATTAATGTTTCTAAATCTTGCAATTGCACTGCAGTTTTTAAACTTGAAGGGTATATTATAACGAAAAGTCTGATAGGAATAAGAATCTTAATTTCTATAATTTGCAAAGACATTTTTATAGGAAGTGCCTGAAACATATTGTGTGCTACTTAGCATTTTGAAAATTAATATAGGCACACCTATTTGCTTCACCTTTTCTTAGATGCAGTTAGTAAACACTTCCTATTATTCACCCCCTTTGGAGAATTTAATGACAAAATTCTACTTGTCTTTAATATCTGAAGTACAAATATTTGCATCAGAAGGGAGAAAATGATGACTGGTACAGAAATAATTTTGCACAGTGATCATGGATTGAGAGCAATGGAATTTAGACGTCTTAATGCTTTGTTTTATTTTGAGAATTACAGCATAGGTCCTCTAATTTTTAGCATGTAGCTTATTGCGACTTGTTTCTTTAAAACTGCACTCTGCATTTGTGCAATTTTAAGGAAAAAAAACCTTTGTGGATATGAAGTCTTTGTAACTCAACACGTACAGAAAAAAACAGAAATAATCTGAGAATCATTTTTTTAACACATATGAAAATAATTGAGAAAGGTATCCAGACAAAAGAGCTCAGATGCATTATCCAAGCCAGTGATATGTCAGTGTTTTACAACAGGTTTACCCTATGTAAATGCTTAATGCAACTGAGTGAAGTCACATATTAAAACAAAGGTATAACAAACATGTCTTGGCTTTCTAGCAAATTGGACATAGGAAATAATGTGTCTTTTGCTGTGTACTAATCTTTTTGTGTTTCAAATAATAGTAAATTTTATAGACTGCCCTATCTCTCCGAAGGGACTTAGGGCAGTTTCCAGCAAATATGGCAAACATTCAATACCCAAAGAAAAACCATACAAACCGCATCAGGACAAAACACATTAGACAATAGAAAATAGCATAACTATAACTTAATAATAAAAATAGCAAAAAATAAGAAATTAAATAAAAATAAAGTCAAAACATCATAAAATACAAAAAACCCCTGATAAAACACACTAAAAATAAAATATTAAACCAAAGGCATCGGAGCTCCATCAGGTGGGGTTCAACAGTAGCAGTGGCTAGAAGTGCTAAAAATGAACCTAATCAATTAAAAAGGGGCAAGCAAGGGATAGTGCAAACAGCATATCGTAGGGCCAGGGAAGTGGATGAAGTGCAGAACAGAGGACTATCTGATGACCTAGGGACTGGGCTTAGGGACTAATCGTTCTCGAAAACTTGCTGGAACATCCAGGTTTTCAGTTCCCTACAAAAGGAGAACAGTGTGGGGGTTTGCCTAATCTCCCTGAAGAGGGTGTTCCAAAGTTTGGGGGGCCACCACCGAGAAGGCCCTGTTCCTCGTCCCCACCAACCACACTTGTGACAGTGGTGGAAACGAGAGGAGGGCCTCTCGGCAGATCTTGGAGCCCGCGCCGGTTCATCGGGGGAGATGTGATCACCAAGATAGGCAGAGCCTGAACTGTTTAGGATTTTGTAAGTCAAAACCTGCATCTTGAATTGGAACCAGAAACTTATCAGGGGTATCAATCATGGTATCAGAAGAAACTTGAAAAATAGCTGCCATAAGTATCTGAATTTTGAATGCACAGAATTTCTTTACTCCTTCAACTGTTCTAGCAAAGCTACTCTGAAATTATACATTTTTGATACAAACATTTCAATTCCCTTATTGCATTTAATGACTCATTTATAGGCATTCGTTTTCTCACACACGGATGGCTGAAACCAAGACACTCCTCTAATATGCTGTGGCATCCTTTTAATATATGCTTGTACTAATATTTCCTATTCTTTTAGCAGATGGCAACATAATGTTAATTTCTGCTCTTAAAACGATTTTTTTCATTATTTCATCCATCTAGTTACTCAGCTTGCTCTGCTGGAATTGATCTTAAATATAATATCAGTCCCTGGACACATTTTCTGCCCTGATAGCCTCATTTTTATGGCATGATCATGTCATGAGAACTTATTTTTAATTTTTTTCCTCTTCCGCTATTTTCACATTTTAGTTTTCAATCGTTGCTGCATTTAAAGATAATTTCCTGTGGTATCTAATTCTCATTAAGATACTCACTTAGAGGCTTCTTATGAAATATAATGTGTCACTGAGCAGATGTAGATTTATTTAAGCCAACAAGTTTTAAATATCTATGGCAACACTTGGCTATTCTGTTAAAGGTTCATTAGAATACTCCATGCTTTTGCCAAACTATGTAAAATAAATTTGTGGTTCTGTAGCAGGGTCATGTCCTAGCAGCTTGGTCGTGTATGTGCATTTGCTGTTATGCTTAAAAGCTTATTAATATATCAATGTGCATAGGTTGATAACATACCATAGGTAGTTTTTAGATTTGGGAGCAGTTAGCACAATGTGTCTTGGAAATGTGTCTTGTTTCCATTTAAACAACAGGCTGGATTTCTGTATAGTACTTAAAATATGGCCTAGTGTTAAAACAGTTAATATTCCAAGCTCTGACCTTATCTTCACTAGACATAGATGTGTTTTAAAAAGATTTAGGATGCCTCTTTGTAACCTCTAGAAGAGGGGTCCTTAACCCTTTTCCCTTCACAGACCCCTTTGCCAGTCAGGTGGAAACAAAGGACTTCTTCTCAGAATGTAGCAACATATAGTTTTATGACAATCAACATCGGCATGTCTTTACATTTAATTTTTGGGTTATTCAGAATTACATTTTAAAACATTCCCACAGATTCAGGACCTGATAACCTAACATGGTTTGTACGCAGCAAGACTGCCATCACGTGTGATCTAGCATCGGGTCTAACAAATACCATAATTTCAAAGTATGGATGAGCATAAGCAATTTTTCAAGATAGGCAACAGCTGTAATGTGATATAAAATAAATACTGCTGTAATTTATTGCATACATGAATACATGAAGGTAACACTAGATTTCAGTTAGACATCACAGTAAAATAAAGATAATAGGTTCATTTTTTTTCAGTCCCAACTCGCAGACCCTGAAATATTTCCATGGACCCCCTAGAAAGAAGTCTGTGGACCCCTGGTTAATAACCCCTGTTCTAGGTCATATTTTGGTGAGGCAATTTCATCATGTGCCCCTTGAAAGTAGTTAATGTCTTATTTGAACCAGGAAATCAATTTGAAGCCGCTTTTTAAGAGGGAACATGTTGTATTGAGCTTGGACTTGCATGTTTCGCACTTTTTCCTCCTTCAGCATGGTTGCGAAGTGTTTTGAAGCTTTTAGATTAACTATAGTTTGTCATGCTGTCTGGTCATACTGTGGTTAACCTTAATTATACTTTGTAGAAATACTTCAGTGAAAAACCAAATGTTATGAGGTTGGCTTTCTTCCACAAACTACAGTTCATCTGCAGTTAACAGTAGTTTGTGGTTTGGACTTGATCCTGAATTGTGGTTAATCTAATATGGAAGTAGATGGATTCCTTGTGACTTTACCAGAAGATGAGAGGGGTAAAAGAGCTAACTAGGCATCCATGAACAGAAGGAGCCCTTCTGTTTATGACTGAGTATGATCCAGCTGATGATCTCACTAGTACAGGAGTTCTCAACCTGTGGGTCCCCAGGTGCTTTGGCCTTCAACTCACAGAAATCCTAACAGCTAGTAAACTGGCTAGGATTTCTGGGAATTGTAGGCCAAAGCACCTGGGGACCCACAGGTTGAGAACCACTGTCCTGGGGTAAGGGAAAGAAGTTTCAAAATGTCCACTATTAGTTATAGAACATGCTGGACATTGTGTATATTGGCTATAAAATTTATTTACTGAAAAGTTGTATATGGTTGAGCAAACAAAGATAAATAAATAAATAAATAAATAATAAATATGATGGAGGAAACTTAGATCTCGGCAGACAAGTTCTTCCCTGAGCTCTTGAATGAATCAGTTAACAGTTAAAAGTTACTATGGAAGAAGAGGACAGGAAATGTGAAATTTACCGATGCCTTCTTCTGTTTACTACTCTATATAGTTTCCAAGGTTTTAACTGTTGACATGCCTTCCTGTATTTATGGTAATTTGAGTTTCTTTGTCATTAAATAAAAGCTTTATTATTAAATATCACCTTGCTGAGATTTGATTCTGTGCTTTCTATAGTCGTCTAGCACATCTACTAAAAACGTCGAACCTGATAATGTTGGACAGTGGTGTATTTACACTTTTCTTTCTCTTATTGGTTCCTTTACAGTCCTTTTTTTTTTTTGAAGTCTTAATTAAACCCAGTGTAAGAAGGGGTTTTAACACTTGCTTCTTCAGATATCAGTTGCAGAGTTAATTGATATTAAACCTCTACAAACTGCAGAATACATCATGGATATGACAGAGTGGTGCTGGCTGCTTTCAGCTTCAAATGTGTGCTTGGTATGTGCAAAATGTTTTGTGACCCTTTACAAAACCTGTGTATGTTTTCTTTTTGTGTCCTTAGGATACTGCGGAGCTGACATAAAAGCACTTTGCACTGAGGCTGCCTTGATTGCCCTGCGACGGCGCTATCCTCAGATCTACGCAAGCAGTCAGAAGCTGCAACTTGACGTTGCTTCAATAGTTCTCAGTGCACAAGATTTTTACCATGCAATGCAGAATATTGTGCCTGCCTCTCAGCGTGCTGTAATGTCATCAGGACATGCGCTGTCTCCCATCGTAAGGCCACTGCTGGAAAGGACTTTCAGTGATATTCTAGCGGTTTTACATAGAGTGTTTCCTCATGCTGAAATCAGTCAGAGTGATAAAAAAGAAGGTATTTCTACATTTTATTTCCATTTATTCTACTTTTTTTCTTTAGTGTCTTGCCATCACAAACTAAGCCCATAATCAATCATATGATGCTGCCGGTTCTGCACAGCTCTATGCTCTAGACAACACTCTTGTACTAAACTATTAAAACTATGAGGTGTTTCAAAAGCAGTTTTGATATTATATGTAACACTGTTGATCAAAGGAAAACACTTGGTATATCTCCACCATGGGGCTTATCTATAATATCTTTATGCATCACAGTCCCATAAATATATTTAGCAAAACTGATCATTTGGTATGATCAGTTTTGTATTGCTGTTGTCATTAGTTGTAAGGCAAATGGTTCATCTTTATCTAATCTTAAAACTTCAAAAACTTTTAAAAACTGAAAATTAAAACTTTTAAAATCTGAAAACCTTTTGGCCATATATTTCTTTATTTAGTACATGTAATAGGTTCCAGATCTATTGTTCTGTGATTTGAGCAACTCCATTATTTGACTTCAGTTTATAGTTGCCCAGGAATTTCAACAGAACAGATACACAAAATGAAGTAATATGCTCTGGCTCTCAGAAACAATACATTTCAATATGATCCTGAATCATATTTTTACTGGATGATATCAGTCAGCTATTAATTTGTCCTTTGAAACTCTTTGGTGTAATCAGCGAAATTTGGAATTTGAGATAATGGGCCATGTAGGTCATTGGGTTACTGTCAGCACTAAAAGGTTTCGTAAAAGGATATGCTTTAAAACTACTATAGAAATACCAAATGCTTGTTTTTCCTAAACATTCCTGTGCTTCAGGTGTAGAAAACTGAAGCTGAACAATATTTTTGCATAACCCTTGGAAGTACTGCTTTTTGGAAGCAATGCTTTATCAACCATCAAATAGTGCTCCCAGTGGTCTCATAACCAAAGTACTGTTCTGCTCCAAACCTGCCTAGCTTCCGTGGTGCTTTAACCATGCTTTAACCTCTCTGACCATTATTAAAAAAGGGTGATGGAGAGCCTATTAAGATGATTTGTCTCAATTTTAATTTTTGTAAGTTGAAAATTGAGTCCCTTGATCATAAGAATAGAGTAGATGCATAATTATATTTGGATTTTGAAACTGATATGGGTGTGAATTTATTACTTTGCATTTAGAATGGTTACAGCGTATAGAAACAGCTATGTTTATTTAAGTTTTTAAAAATAGAGGAAGTAATAACAATATATAGAGTTATAGACTTTCAGTAACTAGATGTTGGAAGTCGTTTTAATGTGTTTAATGAGTGGTTTATTCAGTATATGTTTTATTATGTGTGTTTTTCTTCATTTTCTTCTTTTTGTTTTGTTTGGTATAGTTATTTCTTTGTTTTGAGATGAAGTTAATGAAAAAAGGATTGTTGATTGAAAATACTTTTATATGTCAGATACTGCTGTCTGTTTTGTTTTCTGTTCTATTTGGACTAAAAGCTACTATTAAATTATATTAAGCCCAAAGTCTTTCATTCCCTTGTTGATGAAAATAAAATAGGCCAACTAAAATTAGAATTTATTGAACCTTTGATAGAAATTTGAAGTGTTCTTTGTAAGAGTTATTTGTTTACAGAATTTATACCTCACACTACTCACCCCGAAGGGGACTAAGAGCTGCTTTACAGAACACACATACGGCAAACATTTAATGCTGATTATACAATTAACAAGGACAGACAACAAATAAGTTTTTCTCATCTTATTTTCGGCATCTTGGAGGCTATTATTGACTGCAGCCACTGGCGTGTTGTGTGTGTGTGTGTGCTGTCGTTCCATCTTCCATGCCAAGGATCTTTTCTCTGATCAGTGTCCTTAAGGGCGCCTTTTGTTACCTCCTCGCTAAAAGCGGTACCTATTTTGTCTACTTGCACTTCTGCTTTCAACCTGCAAGGTGGGCAGGTGAGCTGGGGCTAACAGCAGGTGCTCACCTTGACCCGAGCTCAAACTGCTGACCTCTTGATTGGTAGGATTTTTCTGCAGCACAGTGAGTGGTTTAGTCTGCTGTGCTAAGCTCAGCCCCTAAGAGTTAAGGCTGCCTCAAACTTTTTATCCTAGAAGGAGAATGTGTACCTTTGCATTTTAAAAAATCTGTGTGTTCTTCTGTTCTCTCTTAAATTTGGTTTCCATAGAATTTCCCCCATGAGTAGAAAATTTATTTTTAGCTTAGAAGAAGTGTTTTAATATCGGATTCCTTTTGTTTGATAATTAGCATTAAGCGCTAATACGGTTTTCCTTTGATTGAATAGATGCAACAAATCTCATTTTGGATGATAGTGAAGATGAAAATACTTTATCAATATTTGAAATAAGTTGTCCGTCGGGATCACCAAAGAAACAGTTATCAGCTGCTATACATAATAAACCTTACCTTCATTTTACAATGTAAGTAGATGCTTTGATATGGTCATTGTTGAGTTTGGCACAGAAATATGTATTTACAGTAGCAACTAACCCTAAATGAAGCTAACTTTCTTTTTTGATTTTCTCCTTTCATCAGGCCTTCATCCTACCATAAAATGATGCCTTCCCTCTGGGGGGCTTTAGGGAGTTATAGTTTTTCTAGTTCTGTTGTCAAACGCAAGTGCTATCCACAGAATTACCCCACTGGGTATTGGCCATGGCTCATGATTTGTGACAGTGTTTTGATGTATCCTGTTTCTCTTGTTTGCTCAGCAGTTATGGAGGCTATTGGAGCCAAGCAGTAGTGATCACTGAGCAAGGCTTCCTGATAGCTTGGAAAAAATATTCCTACAGTTGTTGTGTGTTTGTATTGGGAATAACGTGTACAGTTTATGAAAAATTAACTAGTCTTATCTTTTGCTGTTACTTTTCTCACCCTATAACTTATATGCTAAACTTATTTTAGTCTTACATCTAATTCTGCATTGACATATGGAAGGGCATTGGATTAGATGGCCCATGCGTTCTTTTCCAACTCTATGATTCTATGAGAAATGTTACTTTTGTTGCAGGTCAGCTTACCACCAGCCAACCTCTTATAGGCCAAGATTACTGCTTTCAGGAGAAAGAGATTCAGGTCAGACTTCACATCTTGCTCCAGCACTATTGCACTCGCTTGAAAAAATTGCTGTACACAGATTAGATCTGCCAGCACTTTATTCGGTCAGTGCCAAAACACCTGAAGAATCGTGTGCGCAGGTTAGTCTGCATTTACATTCTCTTTGATAATTTGCTCAACTTGTGCACTTTTGAGGCTCTCCTAAGTTCCAGTACAAGAATACTGGCCCTTCTCTCTTCACAAACACACTGAATCAGTGGGGTGTTGAGTCTTCGTGTAGAGGGTTTTTTTTTATAAAGCAGAAGTCAGATTAAGAGCCCTTCCACATAGCCATATAACCCAGAATATCAAGGTAAGTAATCCACAATATTTACTTTGAACTGTGTTATCTGAGTCCACACTGCTGTATAATCCAGTTCAATGTGGATTTTATACAGCTGTATGGAAGGGGCCTAAAACAATAGAAGAAGAAAATTCTGTACCTTTTTCTCTACACACTATTAAAGTTTAATAAGTTTCTCAATATGCATGTGTTGAAATGCAATACAAGATATTAATGACTATTCCTCTAAAGCAGTGGTTCTCAACCTGGGATCCCCAGATGTTTTTGGCCCAGAAATCCCAACCAGTTTACCAACTGTTAGGATTTCTGGTAATTGAAGACCAAAAACATCTGAGGACCCACAGGTTGAGAACCACTGCTCTAGAGAAATAAACCAACACTCCCTGTCAAGGCTGGACATATCCTTGTAATGGTCTGAGTGAGAGCAAAGGAAACCAAAACCCATTACCCACACATCCCTTCTCTAGAGAGAGTGGCCTTTGTGATGGATGTCTAAAGCTCTCTGGTCAGTCAGAATGAGTGACCTCTATGTAGTTACTCAGATTTTTGGTTGAAAAGTTGAAGAATGATGCAGGTTATAAAAAAGACTGTCATAAGGACAGTCTTAATTTCTTATCTCTCTATGAGTTCGCCCTTACAATTAGTTCTCCCTCCTTATCTCACCCGGAGTTTTTAAATCATTTTATGTACATGCGGCCTATGTTTTATATTTTAATGTTATGTTGTTTATTTGATTGCAATATGTATTGTTATATTGTAATTCTTGTTCGGGCTTGGCCCCATGTAAGCCGCTCCGAGTCCCCTTTGGGGAGATGGTGGTGGGGTACATATAAAGTTTATTACATTATATATTATATTATTATAAGGAATTGTTCTTTTATAAATGGAGAGAGGCAGATTGTACCAGAGTCTTTCTGCTGGATGAAGGGAGCACGTGATGATCTTGCACAATTCCATCTGCAGTCAAAAGTGAACAAGATGGAGGCATCCAGCACAAACAACAATACAGTTTGGTTGTTTGTTCACCATTTTAACTGCTGGTTAAGATAAGGGACAGAAAGGTAGAAATAGATAAAGGAACAATGTAGAAGGATTTATATAAGGGATATTTAGACTTATGAACAGTTTTTCAAAGTAAAATTCAATAAAAATCACATTAATAAAAAGCGTAACACTTGTTTTCCTTCAGATTGTATGATGTTCACATTTCACAATCCTTTGTATATCTGTATGTGATTGTATATGCTGACTAAGAAGAATATATATGATGAATGTTACTCAGATCTAAACTTCAAGGGGAGATCACATTTTATATTCTGTGTAATGCCTTCTTAACTGTTAGCAATTTTAACAGTTTGTTTACTGCTATCTTAATGTCACTGTCCTTCCTGATTAGATCTTTCGTGAAGCAAGAAGAACACTACCAAGTATTGTTTACATGCCTCATATTGGTGATTGGTGGGAAGCTGTCAGTGAAACTGTGAGAGCTACATTTCTAACTTTGCTGCAAGATATACCATCATTCTCACCGATATTTCTACTCTCTACCTCTGAAACCATGTATAGTGAGCTGCCAGAAGAGGTGAGCATAACATTATTCTTTGAGAAGCAAACAAGCATGCAGGAACCCCCACCCTGGTTTGTAATTAGACAGATATATATTTTAAAATTGGACTTGTAACTTCCATCTTTTCAGTTTAATGAGTAATTCTTGATTCCCGATACACACACACACACACACACACACACACACACACACATACTGTGGCGAAGTGCTGTAAACATCTGTATGGCCTCTAGATTTTAGCAACTGGCATTCAGATTTTTGTAGAGTGGGCTTCCAGGTGACTTCTGTGGAAAAGCTTTTTAAGTGAGGACAGCGTCTGTTAGCAGTGATATTGCTTCCAGGTCCCTGCCCTTAAAGAACTACATATTTTTTGTCAGTGAACATTGTACTAAGCATGAACATTGATCAGTTATGAGGCAAGTTCTCAAGGGGCTGATCCATTTTATTGATTTATTACTTTTAGAAAAGAGAATAATGCTTGGTAAAGTGGAAGGCAGTAGGAAAAGCGGAAGACTGCTTTACAGGTGGATCGACTCAATCAAGAAAGATATGACCTTGAGACTACAATACCTGATTAAGGGACTTGGAGTTCTCTTATTTGTAGGTCATTGTATGTCGGATTGAGTTGACAACAAACAACAACAATTTCTCTTTTAATCGAGATAGCAGCATCCTAGGGAGTCCTGGGATTGGAAGTTGATCAAGGGGCACCAAGAATCCTCAACTCAGAGGTCTTGTGATGTCTCCGTCCAAACTACAAACCCCAGGAATCCACAGGATGCAGCCATGGCAATTACGGTGGCTTCATAATGCTATAAATAGGGAGAGTCCCCAGCACATGCCTGTCTCTCACAAGGCATATGGTAAGGTGCATTTTCAGAACTGTGTGTTTTCATTGTCTTTTTATGGAAGGAAGAATTGGCCCTCAACATGTAATGGTCTGATGAGTTACTAGCTTGCTAGGAGTTTAAATATTTCAAACCCTAAAATTTCACTGTTTTTTAAAAAATAGGTGAAGTGTATCTTTAAAATCCAATATGAAGAGGTTTTTTATATTCAGCGACCTAGTGAAGAAGATAGGCGTAAATTTTTCAAAGAGCTGGTTCTCAATCAGGCATCAATGCCTCCTCCAAGGAGGAAACAAACTGGTAAGTTAATTCTCTGTGCACTCAGAAAGCATCTACACTTTCACCTGTTTGTGTTCTGTTTTAAATAAAAGTAAAAATATCATTGGCTATGATGTTCAAATGGATTTCTTGTACAGTGAAGATGATTGTTTACAGAGTCACTGATCTTTATTTGAAGATGAAATAGTGCATTGAAGCAGGTGGGAGTCCAGAATCCATTCATGGTCACTTGCTTCATATGTGCTGTGGAATTTAGGAAAGCACTGAATGACTATATTTGAAAATGATACCAAGTACTTCATGAAACAAGAGGCGGAATAGCTTCAAAATAATATTTCCAAATCTATGACCACACTTCAGGATAGCATAGTGATTCCCAACCTGTGGTCCTTAGACCATCAGTGGTCTGCAAGAATGAAAATATGATCGGCAACCTCACCAGTATTACACAGTTGCCTCAAAACCATGCAGCAAGGACAGAAACCGGTCTCACGAAACCTTCTTATAGTGCTGAGACAATGGGGATGTCAGGAGGGGAGAGGCTGACTACCCACGAAAGATTACTACCACTACCACATAAGCTCTAAATTATTAAATATGGTTTTCTGTGGGCAAGCAGATGGCAACAACTGGATGGCATATGTTCTGTATTAGAAACTAGAGCTGATGTGGTCTATCCAATGTAATTTTCTGAATCGGCACACCAAATAATCAAACCAAATCTAAAGGTGACCAAAAACCGATTTGTAACCCTTTTGGTACTAATGTTGGAGAGTGGTCCCTGGTCAAAGTGGTTCCTGTTCAAGTGGTCCCAGGTCAAAAAAAGTTTGGGAACCACTGGGATAGCAGATGAGATTCACTGTAAATGTGTGTATTAGGCAAAAGTCCTAATTTCCGATGTTAAGCCAGTGGGATTCTGAACTAGTGGTTAGTGAACAGGAAAGATACATTGGAGTTGTAGTGATTGCCTGAATGGTAATCTGCAATGTGCTATTTTATTTCAGTAGGAAAAGATAGGTTTCATGCTAGGTAAGGGGAAGACAATTCTAAATACAATTGTATTACTTGTGTGTATTTATTTAAAACATTTATATACCTTCTTTCCACGGAAAGCTTCCCCAAGGCCATAAAAGCAAACTGATGGTATACAAAGTATTTTGATCATTCTAAGACAAAATGATATTAGTGCTGAAAAAGGTATAGAAAAGCCCAAAAATATTTCTTAATGGAACCACGGCAGAAGCGTCTTAAATTTAATTTGGTAGAGCAAAGTATTGAAGAGATATTTTCCTTCCTATCTCATAAAACAGGACTTCCAATTCAACTAATGAAATGGATAGGAGAGTCAGAAAGACAAAAGAAAGTACTTTACATATGGTGCATAATTAATACATGGAAATCAGTTTAAAAAATAGATTGATCATCATCCTCCAGGCCACATGTGATACTGGGTTGCAATTTGTTCATTATTACCTGTTCTGATTTACATACACATTCACCTTAAGAACAAACCAACAGAACCGATCTTATTCATAATTGTATATTACTGCCTGTACAGTAAAATACAATTTCCGGAGAATGCTACCTGCAGACTTTGTTTCCTGAATTCTCCATTCTTTTTTATAAAGCTCTTTCAGATCTGGAGGTGCTCCCTCTTGCCCTCCCGTCTCCTGCCCATCAGCTGTCCGAGGTGGAAAAGCAGAGGCTGGAGGACCAGGAAGAAAACACACTGAGAGAGCTGCGGTTGTTCCTCAGGGATGTCACCAAGAGATTGGCCACCGACAAGCGCTTTAACATCTTCAGCAAACCGGTGGATATTGACGAGGTCTTGTTTCAGTAACGTGCAAACAATGAAGTTGACCTTATTAGCAATTAATAAAAAAGGCATTATATTAATTGTCGCAGATGATATCTATGATCTAACCTGTTAGCAATAATACTAACATAATATTCTCAATTTTATTCTGGCCACATCTGTGGCAATATTTCTATTTGCTCATGGAAAACAGATGACTGGAGAATCAGCACTTAGCTATTGAAAGTGCTGGAGATTTTTTAACTGAATTCTAACATCTGCTTCAGAAAATTCATCAAATCTAGCAACTCTTTATCTCCTTGTTAGTTTGTAGCCAAAGAAAACATTGACAAATCTACAGCTATAATTGTAAATTTTGATTACGTAGCCTTTTACAAGAAATTCAAACAAAATAGACTGGATTTGGCTAATCAAATTTGAGTTACAATTAAACATGCCAAATTTATCTTCAGACCAAAAATATAATAATAAAAAGCAATAAAATAAAAATTCCAGAGCCTAACATAAAACAAAGCAGAAATGCTTTAAGTGTCGTTTGTAGATTAGAAAGTGATTACTAGATTCGTGTTTATAAGTATGTTTGTGACACCTGTCCTTTTTCTGGTCAACTTCAGAAGTGAATTTTGCACAGATAACATACCCAAGAAACAGCAGGTTGTGGTGATGTGCTTAGAAAAGTATAATGTGTATTATGCCTGTGTTTGGTGGACGATTGTTCAGTGAACAGCATGCGTGCTTGTTTTTGTGATATATATATTTAAAATCAGTATCTAGAGGTAATTTTTTCACACCTCTGCTTTTCAAATATGTAGTTGGGCCAGTGGTTAATTTTTGTGCCAGAGCTCAAATTACCCTGAAAGTTGTACTCTTTAGTTTGAAAGTCCACTCTTCAGTCCTAAATATATAGTAGTGGATTTCGGTAATATAAACGTATTTGGCATATGTGCAGAACCATTCTGTTGTTAATTACTTTTAATGAAAAATAAGTTTTTGTGTATTAAAGCCTGGCTCAAATCAAACACTGGTATGTTATTCCATTTTTTTTTACATACATACATAATCAACTTTTTTCATACCGAAACCATGTCCCTACAGGACACTTCTTGTTTAACATCCTGTTGGTTGGTCCCAACCATAGAGTAGACACATTCAATTACTTGTTGAATTGCGAGTCAATATGTAGGTAAATCAGAGCCACTGTTCTGCTCTTCTGATGGATAACAGCAAAATTTCAAACTTTCAGTAAAAATTTTTTTTAAAAAATGCGAGTTTGCTGACAAATATAGTAATGCCTTCCAAAATTCTAAAATGGACAAGATGGTAATCCAGGAGAAGCCAGATTTATCTAAAAGGCAGACTGGAGAGAAACAACCCCCATTTCTCATTGGGATTTTAAAAAAGTGTATAGGTCCACAAATATTTGCGAGCTCAGCACTAGTAGTGAGTACATCTTATATGTTGCTGGGCGCATTTGTGATGCTTGCCTCTGATTCACCTTGATTCTGACCTTGAGCAGCGATGTGGAGGCATTCAGAAGTAATGAAGTGGCATTTAAGCATTGGAAGTTGGTATAAAGCTTAGTTCGGTTTTAGTGAAATGATAAGGTGTGCCGCATCAGTGGGACAGTGTTTTTACTTGTTATCCACAGCTCTGAAAGCAATCACTGAATTACGTCCAGCACTTCGGCTACCTCCTTTAAAGCTGAAAAGAATTGATATCAAATTGCTGAATAAATTGGGAGTCACTAGCCATCTCTGGTGACTTTGGATGATGACTCATCATCCATTCACCTATCCTGCTACTTTAACAGAGTTCAGGTTGTGTGTGTGTTTACAAAGTATTTTATTTACACAGTCTTTCCATTTAGCAACTTGGCTACAGCTGCTATATAACAGTAAAAGGCATTGTTAGGGATGTACTTTAGGAACAGATATTTAAATCACTGTTTGAAGTAGAGGAAGAAACTGCTGCTTATTACAAAGTGGTTTGGGACTTCAGTGCCATGAAGGTGTCCTTGAATGTGTTAGGCAGAACATTATTAGTGGTGTGGCATTATGTTGAATTTTTGTACATGCAGAGATTAGAATACTTTGTTTCGTTCGGCTGGGAAATTTAAAAAGTGGCTGTAATGAGAATGCGACTGTTGTCTCATAAAGAGAATTGATTGGATTAAGTGTTGTGTGAATATAAAGAATATAAATTCACTACAAACAGACATAGTTTAATGATACAGAGCTAGAAGGGCTGCTAGAGGTATGTGGAATAACTCCTGAACTTTGTTTGGAACAGGCAATGCTAATTATAAGTAAGCCTAATTCAAAGCTGTTATATTTTTATTCTGGAATGTTGGTGGAGCCCATTGCATTCAGGATTTTTTTTTTCATAGTTAATACTGCATAATGGCGCTCCATGCCGTCATACTGATCTTGGAGGTGACTACGGACAATGCCAGCTATTTGGCTTAGAAATGGGGATGAGCACCACTCCCCAGAGTTTGACACAACTAAACTTAATGTCAGGGGAAACCTTTACCTTAATATTGCCTAACTTTCATGGAGAAATTATACAGATGAATGCCATTACAGAATAATTAACTGTTCCAGAAAAGTACTTTCAATTGTGTAGGCAGAGTTTTATCTAGTACATGTTTTAGAAACATTTACGCATGATAATTTCAATCAAGTAGATTTTCTTTTAGCCTGGTCCATACAAACTGTGGCCAGATGAATGGATCTGTCTAAACTTTTTGGTATATGAGGATTTCCCTCCCCTTCTCTCCTTGATTCATCTTTTTAATTCCATTCATGTTGGTCTTGGTGGTGACATACTTTAGTTCTCCATGGACATTCCTTTTGATGGGGAATGGTCAAGAACTGGAATAGAGGATCTGATGTTGGATATTTTAGTATTGGACTTGTTCTGTGGATAGGTCTAATCCTCACATTACAGTTTGTGGATACACAGATGCAAAAACCAGGAAAGGATGAGATGGGTGGGATTTTATTTCCCCTTTCCAATTTGTGGCATAGGCTCCTGATACAAGATATATCATCTGTCTTGGAATCTCCTTTTCTGACTCTAGATTTCTGTCTTCTCCTGGCAGTATAGGAACCTTCTTAGCTGCATTGAAGTGTCTTGGAAGCATTGTACTAATGGAAATCTGCTCAACCCCCCCCCCCCTTTCTGTAGCACTCTCACCTGAAAATTTGCTCTGGGGTTCTTGGGCCCGCAGATCCAATTTTGAGAGTGCCAGAGCTGGGATGGGAGAATTATACCCTCACTGTTCTGCTGAGAGCAGCACTTCTATCAGCAGAATGACAGCATTAACTCCACACCATGCATGTTAACAAATTCTTCTATCTTGTGTTTGAACCTTTGAAAAAGTCCAGTGTTTTTATTTTTCTGATGTATTGAAAATAGAAAACCTTTTTAAAATTACGTTTTTGAAGATGGCTTTCTGTATAAAATGCTTTGCATTGAATGATAATCTGAATAATTGTACTGTTGAATATTATAAGTAGGCCACTTGTGTCACTTAACTGTGGTATTTGATTACAGGTTTCAGATTATCTTGAAGTTATCAGAGAACCAATGGACCTCTCAACAATAATAAGTAAAATTGATAAACAAAACTATTTAACAACAAAGGATTTTCTGATAGACATAGATCTCATCTGCAGCAATGCATTGGAATATAATCCCGATAAAGAACCGGGTGGTAAGAAAATATTTAATCATATTTGCTGAAATGTGAAAGAATATGTGATAGTTATCCTGTTGCAGCTCTAATATTTGTGTAAGCTGCATCTCATATATGTATGAAACTTTGCCCTAAATATTAGCTTAAATATGCAGACATCAAAGACCCTATTCAAATTGTGGATTCAAAGAGCTGCATAATTTAGTTGTGTTTGTTTGTTTTTCTAATTATTCTCCAAATGACACAAGAAAACCCTTAAAACAGAGTTTTCCAAACATTTCATGTTGGTGACACACTTTTTAGACATGCAGCATTTTGTGACACAGTAATTCAGTTTTACTAGCAAACTGGAGGTTACACCAATCCTTATAGAAGATACAGACACATACTTAAATTTGATCATGAAATATATTAGGACACAACAATACTGAAGGTACACAAATTAATCAAGGTAAATCAAATGAATTAAATTAACTAGCAAGAATTAAAATAACTTAATAAAATAGATGGCTTAAAATTAAAATAGCAGTATGATTAATAATTAATAAACTTATTAAAAGTAAAAGTAAACTGTATGCAGAAGGCTAGTATGGAACTGGAGACCATCAGTTCTTTAAAAGAACTCCATCCCGCTAAGCTACTCCAGTACACATGGTAAAGAGAAGAAAACAACACCAAGGATGCAACAAAAAGGACCAGAAAATGGATTAAAATAAAAAATACAGGATTAAAAGCAAAAAAAAATTAGGAAGGAAAAAATTATGCCAAAAGCTAGTATCAAAAAGGGACCTTCAGATCTGCAGCCAAACTCCCTCCCATTCAATTATTTGAGTGCATATGGCTACCAAAGAGAACAAGGGGACAAAGAAAGCTGCAAAAAACTGCAGAAACAAAGGGGAGGGGAAAGAATTCATTTTCAAAAACATGCCTGGCCCCAAATAATTAAGACTGGCCTCCCTTTCACAAGGGGATTCAATTGGCTGTCCCATCCCTATGCGGCATGACTGTGGCTGTGAACTGGGCTGCATCTACATATTGCAGGCAACACACTAACATATTGTGACACAGTTTGGAAAACTCTGTCTTAAAACAATATCCACAATAACTGATGCAACTTTGAAGCGTGCTATTTCACAAAACCCTCTCGTATTATAATTACATTGGGTATAACAAAGTCCTTCAACATGCCTAAAGTAGCATTTTGGATCCCAAAGTACTTTGTACTTTAAAGTAGTTTGATTTTATTGGAATCTGCTTCAACACAGATATCTGCAAATTACAACCTTTAAAAACTTACTGTAGATAGGCCTGTCTTACCCTACAAGTACATTTTGTCCACACTCCCAGGGAGTATGTTATTTGCTGCTTGTTTGGGAATGTGAACAAGTTATTGTCTTGTAGCAATAAATGTTTATCTCTTCATTTTTTAACGTGTGAAACAGCACTAAGACTACATTTGGATTATTAATTTACTACAAATATTTAGTTTTATGGCCTTTTGGTGGAAGGCATAGATATTTGAATAAAAAAATCTGAAGTTTCTCCCTTCTCAGACTTAGTAAAATGGTATCTAAAGCAATTAAAATTGAACCAGTGTAAATATTTTAATTTTTTTGGTACTGTCACATAGTACCAAAAGCTTATTATTTATTTATTTACAGCATTTATATTCTGCCCTTCTCATCCTGAAGGGGACTCAGGGCAGAGCACAGAACATATATTCAGCAAACATTCAATGCTGTTAGACAGACAGGATAGATAACAGATAAAGGTATATGTCTGCATTTTTTCACCATCTTCGGCGTCCTGGAGGTTGTTCTCAATTCCGGCCACAGGGGGGTGCTGTCACTTCATCCTCTATGATGAAGATCCCTTGATCACAGACTTCTTCCTTTCTTTGATTGTCAGCGTTTTCTGGTACTTCCTTTTTATGGTGCCGTAAAATACCTTCCTGCTTAAGAGGTGCCTAATTTCTCTACTCACAGCTCACAGCTGTTTTCGAACTACTTAGGTGGACAGTGAGCTGGGCTGAAAATTGGGTGCTCACCCCAACCTGGGCTTTGAACTGCCAACCTTTCGCTTGGTGTGATTTTATTGCTGTTGGTGATTAACCAGCTGTGCTAAAGCCTGTTCATATTTACAAATAGTACTTGATTTTCTGAAACATAGGTGACTCAAGTATGAATTTTCAGTAATATTGTTGGAATCTGAACCTCCTCCTTTCTTTCTCACATGGCTGAACTCCCTGGTTGAAGGCAGGCTTCCCCTTTTTATATACTGTAACATGATGATCTTTGGTTTGGAGTGTTGCTTGTAAAGGCTTCATCTTGATCAGTGCATCTGCCGAGCCACATTACTGTTCAGCTTTAGAAGATAAAAACATACGCAGTTCATTAGCATTAGTATTTTTATTATTTGATTTTTCTGTGGATATGAACTTATTTTAATTTTAAAATGTTAACTGTGTCATTTCAATTATTTTTTATTTATGTGTTTCTTAGATATGTGTGTATTTGCCTTGGGGCACCTCTGTGATTCAGATAATTAGTACATTTATAAATAAAAAAATAAAAATGTGTGATTAAAATGAGAGCTATGCTAATTTTGTAGATAAAATAATTCGGCACAGAGCCTGCACTCTGAAGGACACTGCACATGCCATCATTGCTGCAGAACTGGATCCTGAGTTCAATAAAATGTGTGAGGAAATCAAGGAAGCAAGAAAAAAGAGAGGTATTATGATATGTGTCACAGATCTACTTTGACAGTCAAATATGCAAATGTAGTTGAATTCCTGATCATTAGGTGCTCTGTGTCTAACCAAACAATTGTTACAAAAATTCTATTCTAATTGATGTCTTACTACATTTAAGGATTGAGAGAATAGCTCATTTAAATCTAAAAACAGTGTCCACATTTGTTGGAGGAGATATATGTTTTTTTAAAAACTCTTTCTGTTTGCATCTTGAATTCTTCTGAACAATTGGGTGTTACGTTGCTCAAAATTGTTATTGGGGGAGGGGGGGAGGGACAGAAGTGTGGGATTCTTAGCCCTCCTTGTTCGCCTCCCATACCCTGATCTCCTTCAGATGTAGACTTTCCCACATACAAAGATTGGCGGAGACAAGTACACAGAAGCTTTTAAGTATGTAAGGTAGAGTTAGATAAGCGTTGTTCAAAGCGATTCATTGCTGGAGGAATAAGCCAAGGAACAATTCTTATGTATTTTGGGCATCATTTTATATGCTGGTTTTGGAATATATTAATCTTCTTTCAAGTTGCATATTAAAATTACATGAGCTTTCGGAAAATAAACATCTTTCCCAGAAAATGCTTAACAAATACAAGTGAGGAGCATCCTTTTTGAGCTTATACAATGAAGCCTAAGCCGTGTTATGTATCCTGTGCTGATCAAATCATTTATATTTACATTTTAGCTCAAGGAGTCTTTCAGTGTATTTTTTAAAGTACCAGAAAAAAGTACCTTTATAGGCATAGCAGAGTTTCACAGAGTTGTTCCATGAGGATACCTTTGATCAGTCCTCCAATTTAAGATAAACTTTTTTAGTCCCCCCCCCCCCCCCCCAATTCCTTTACAACAGTTGGGATTCTTGGGTTGTAGATATTTAAAATATAATGGAGCAGAAATACACCAGTGATACTGGATAAGTGGACAATGACTTTACTTTATAGTGTTTCCTTCATTGTTCCCAAACGTATTATAAGAGACTTGGGAGATGAATTGAAGAGGACTGAGGAGAATGGAGAGGGTGGTAGAAAATTACCAGAAACACCTTCTGTAAGCAAGGGTTTTCCCAGAGAGATGCCCTTCTGATGGACGCTCTCTCATCCCTCTATTTCCTGCACAGGAACATGCTTTCAGCATGGTTCCCCATTCCTCTTGGGAACAGTTTCAGGAAACTGAACAGGAGAGGAGGGGTGAGAATAGTGAGAAGGTAACCTTATGACTGTCTACTTCTACTGGTTGAATCTCTGGACCTGAGCCCAGTGTGAAAATACACCACAAGGCTGTGTAGCTGATTCTTTATTTTTTTTTCTTCCATTTATGTTACGTTGCACCTTGGAGTGCCTTCTGAGCCTCCCAAGTCCCTTTTGGGAGTCGGTGGTAGTTTGACGTGTTCATTTTCTGTAACTTTTTCAGGCTTGTGATCCCACCAGTTCTTTGTCGCAAGCAGATGGTATTTGTGGCACAGGTTCCAATGAATCATCTGAGCAACGGTGTTATGTCTCTGCTTGTAGTCTGTCTGCGCGATCTTCTTGCAGCAGCTGAAGATATGATCTATTGTTTCATCTGCTTCCTTGCAGAGTCTACACTTGGGATTATTATTATTATTATTATTATTATTATTATTATTATTATTATTTGATACATAACAAGATTAGTACACAGCAAATAAGATCATTGTGCTGGCTTTTGTATTTGATCATACGTCTGACACTTCCCAAGTATTATTATTATTATTATTATTATTATTAATAGTAGTTGTAGTAGTTGTAGTAGTAGTAAATGATGACTTTGAAGGAAATAGTTTGAAGTACAAACAAAGGAATGCCCTGTAATGAAGACATTTTAAAAATCAGTATTTCTGTTCAAAGGGAGGAGGAGCTGTTTTGTAAGCAAAGTTTTGTGCTAAGCAGATCACTGGCTTGTGAATGCCCCTTTGCAAATGTTAGAGTTTTGAATTGCAGTGAAATGAACATCATGTCTCAAGAATTACATGCATTTGGCAAAGTGGCTGAGTGATGAAAGCAAGTATTTTGTAAAGCCATGTTTTGCCTAGGAACTAACTACAGATTATTTTAAAAACTGTCATCATTTTTTCATATTCCAAGACTGTCTGAGTGATGTATTCATTTGTTAGAAAAAACGGTATATTCTTGATGTAAATCTTTGTTTTGTAGTATCCATCCAAATGCATTTAATTGCTATGGGGTTTTAATGCTACATTTCAGTCAGCTTTTAGAACAGCTGGTTATAACACTGTGAAGATTATTGAAATAAATATGCTTATCTTCTGTGTGCAGGCTTATCAGTAACCGCAGAACAAATAAATCCTCACGGTTCCAATGTACAGAAAGCAGAAACCAGAGTCGAAGAAGCATTCCAGAACAAGCAAAAAAATGCCATGACACTTTGGCGCAGTTCCGCAAATAAATGTGCATGTAAGTGTTTGAGATGATTTATCCAGACAGTAAGTCTAGCAGTCTGCAAGATGAGCATCTGTCTGATGCACACTTGTTGATAACATTACTATCACCATCACTATCATCATCATCATTATCACCTTCAAGTTGACAGGTTGTTTCCATCTTTGGTTTGAAGTGAGGAAGGTACAGGGTGAGGCAGCATAACTTCCTTTTTTCAAAACTTAATAAAACCCATTGTATGAATCAGAATTTTTTTATTTTTTTTATAATGTAGGCGCATACCTTTTGTTTTGTTTTATGTAGTTTTGAAGATCAAAGTTTTGTTTTATGTAGTTTTGAAGATCAAATTAGGTAGGTGACGTTCCCCGTTTTCCATTCTCCATACACTGAGTAAACTGATTTCTGGCATTTGTCATGACTCTTGCCAGCATAGCAGGCATTATGTTGGCAGTTTCTTCGAACCCAAGTACAGCCATAGCATAAGTTCAAAGTTGTTTCTGACCTGACTTTTTGAAAACTTTCTAACTCTGATGCACAGTATTTACACTCCCTCCCAAGGTCATCCTTGCAAACACTAAGAAAATAATATTTGTTATACATTCTGAAATGGTGATGGGTTGTGATATAATTCTACCTGTGTCGGCAATAAAAACATTTTTTTTAAAAAAGGTAATCCTTGTGAGGATCTAGCAATGACGAAGGCATGGTTTCCACTTTGCTCTCCTTTGGTTGCCAAATGAGTAAATTTTATGAGCAGAGATTTTGGAAATCCATAAGCTTCTTAGTAGTAGTACTCACTGGGTTGTTACTTACTGTTTGCTGTGTTGCTTGGTGGATTAATTACTTTTGGATGAGAACTTCAATTGCTGATGGCATGTAGTGGAATTAGGGTGCCATAGGGATAATTGGTCACCAGATCACTAAAAGTAGAGGGGGAAAGCCCGAGTAGCATGCTGTCTTGCTGTTAGATTGGATGTGAACTTAAAGCATTTGAACATGATGTTAATCACTTCTGTTCTCTTGTGTGTCATAGGAAGCTGGTGTTGCTAATGTGGTCTAAATAGCCTTGATATCATGGGCATGTCGTTTGCACACCCAGTATTTAGATTTATGTCCAGAGATACCAGAGTTAGCTTTTGAAAATGAAAAGAGAGCTGAGTTGATTTCATGAGATAAATCTTTTTAGTGGATTCCAGTTTTTTAAAATGTCTTTTGTAGATGGTTTATATAACTTTATGCTGGAAGGAGGAAGCATGATGGGAGCAAAAAGGAGACTAAGAAGTATATGTTGCTGAGATGTCTTGTAAACATGTTGCCATTTTTTGTTCTTGTAGGCCAAAATCAAATATTTTTTAAAAATATACCATATATACTTGAGTATGAGCCGACCTGAATATAAGCCGAGGCACCTAATTTTACCTCAAAAAACTGGGAAAATCTATTGACTTGAGTATGCTGAAGGTGGGAAATGCAGTAGTTACTGGTAAATTTCAAAATAAAAATCAATACTAATAAAATTATCTTAATTGAGGCATCTGTAAGTTAAATGTTTTTGAATATTTACATAAAACTGTAATTTAATATAAGACTGTAAAACTCTGAGTAAACCGTTATTATTAAAACCTTCTACAATGTAAATGTGCTTATGTATCCTTCCAATAATAAGAGTAAAATAATAAATGTAAAATAATAGTAAACTAAAATAATGTAAATGTAATAATAATAATAATAATAAATAGAGTGAAATATAATAATAATAATAATAATAATAATATAATGTAAATGTAATAATAATAATAATAATCACTAGAGTAAAATAATAAATAAATATAATAAATAATAACAGAGAAAAATAAAAAAAATAACTTTGACTCAAGTATAAGCCAAGGTTTTTTTTTCCAGCCTAAAAAAGGGCTGGAAAAACTAGGCTTATACTCGAGTATATACGGTACTAAGATGAGTTAAAGCAGTGGTTGTCAACCTGGGGTCCCCAGATGTTTTTGGCCTTCCAACACCCAGAAATCCTAACACCTGGTAAACTGGCTTGGATTTCTGGGAGTTGTAGGCTAAAAACATCTAGGGACCCCAGGTTGAGAAACACTGAGTTAAAGGAACATAGTTGATTCCTTGTTATTGCCAGTAGGTGGTGTTAAAACCACATTATTTTGCATCTTTGAAATAGTTACCTAATGCCACTGTTGGTTATGTTGCAATGGTTCTGTTTGAACATATAACACCATATTAAATTGGTGGATCATATCTGTTTAGATGTAAGATTTTGTGCGTTGTCATTAGTATGGGTGTGAAATATACAAAGTACCATGAAGTGCTTTAAAATAGTTTTCTCTTAATTTGATAAAAGCTGTATTCTTTTAGGACATCAAACCACATGATAGAGTTGATGACACCAGGCTAATCAGTTTTGACAGTAATTAATCCAATTTTAATTACATTTTTGAGAATTAACCTTGGATTTTAATTTTGTGCTTCATGGATGTTTGGTTGTCAGATTCCATTTAGGAAAGATTGTGTTGTTTTTGTGTTTTTTAAAAAGTTAACTTGAACTCTAGTTTTCACTTTTTAGAAATCTAGTGGAAGAACATGAGTAAATATTCTGACTATATGGTGAACTAGCTGTACCCGGCCACACATTGCTGTGGCCCATTGTGGAGAAATGGGAAAGAAAGAAAAGAGGAAGAGCTGGTTTCTAAGCTATCAATACACAACTGAAGTGGCAAAGTGTCAACCTAATATAGGCACATTTCAGTCTCCTCGAGGCCAAAGGGTTATATGGATGTGTGGAAGGGCCCTGGGTTACCTGAGTCCACATACCATATTACCCAGTTCAAAGATATTATATAGGTATTATTATTGCTATTATTATTATAGATGTATATTATTATTATTATTATTATTATTATTATTATTATTATAGGCATATAGATATTATTATAGACACAAATATTATTATTAAAGGCATGTAGGTATTATTATAGATGTTATTTATTTTGTATCAGAATTATTGCATAAACTGGTATAAAACTGATAAAAAATAGAAGAAGCACAGGGCTAAATATCTTCCAAGCAAAAACAGACAACAGATGTATGGATATTATTACATACCTATAGATATTATTATAGGGATATAGATATAGATATTATTATTATTATTATTATTATTATTATTACTATAGATACTATATAGCTGTTATTATTACAGATGTATACATATTATACATATATAGATATTATTATTATTATTATTACAGACAGATATTATAGACATATAGGTATTATTATTATAGATGTATAGATATTATTGGCAGAAAGATATTATGATAAGCATATGGATATTATTATAGACCTATAGATATTATTATAGGCATATAGACATTATAATTACAGACATACAGATATTATTATAGACATGTAGATATTGTTGTTATAGACATATAGTATCATAGACATATATTATAGACATAGATATTATTATGATAGATATATAGATATAGATAACATTATTGTAGATATTATAGCCCAGGGTTGCTATAAAGTAGAAATGGATGGCCATTCTTTGGGAGTGTTTTGATTGTGCTTTCCTGGACAGCCTTTCCTAACTCACAGAGCATGCATTTCCTGGTTTTGTCCTTTCTTCAAATACTGGACTTCATTTCCCAGAATTCCTTCCCATAACTCAGTATGGGTGAGCTTTCTGGGAGTTGAAGTATGTAGAGATATGTGTGTGTGCATATAGGGGTGTGTGTGTGCTTACACATGCGCACAGAGAGAGAGAGAGAGAGAAAGAGAATCACTCCTGTGTGTTCCCAGCAGCCCAGCGGAGGCACCTCCATGCTGCCGACAGCCAAGGAAGAAAGGAAGGGAAGGGGGTGGATCTGGAGGAGGGTGTTTTCCCTCCCTCCCTCCCTCCCTCCCTCTGAATCCTTTGGGAAGAGAGAAGCAGGAGGTAGCGAGAGGGATATTCGGGCCACTTTTCCCTCCTTCTCTCAAGCCGCCGCCTCTCTCTCAGCTGTTGGTTCTTTTCCCCTCATGCAGGAGCGAGGGGCGGGAGGGGGGGAGTGTTGCTTTAACGCATACTCTGTATAGTTATTTAGCTTTGTGGGGGGTTTAAGTTATTTCTGGTTAATTTTTTGCTTTTTTTGAGTGAAGGACATAGATTGCTTTTGGTTGGTGTCTTGTGTCCATATTTGGTGTCAATTCACCCAGTGGTTTTTGAGTTCTGTTAATCTCACAAACGAACATTACATTTTTATTTATATAGATAGAAGATGTAATGCTACATATCTTCTCTAGGAAGCCATCCTTGGTTTCATCATTACTTCTCTTGTATTGAGCAGTAAAAACGTTTCCAGAGCATTAATTGGGAAGAGCCGAATTGATTGTTTCATTCATAGAGTTGCAACTAGTATTTGTTTGGTGATCACTATCCTAGCCCATATCTTTTTTGGACTATATATTTTACAGTTTTTATTATTTTCATGATTACAATAATCTCCTTTTGTGATCTTTTGTCAGAAAAGCAGATACAGTATAGTAATATATTTCAAAGAAATATACTTGATTTTATTACCTTGCCCACTTCATATTTGTCACTTCTTTATACTATACAGATGCTTGTACCTATAAGGATTATTTTGTTTCTTTATAATACAGTTCGCTTGAGGAGGAAAAACCGACGACGTTCCCAATGGGGCAAAGGCATTATTAAAAAGAGAAAAGTGAATAATTTAAAAAAAGATGATGATGATGCCAAGTTTGCGGATGATGAAAACCAAGGAGAGGACAACAAACCGATGGAGAATGGGGAACTTGAGGGAAGTACAGACTGCATTGAGGAGAATGGGGAAGAAGCAGGAGACCTCTTTCTGACAAATGACGAATCGTCTTGTGATATCATGGATATACATGGAGAACAAAGACTTAATAATGGAACAGTGGGAAAAGAAAATAGTATCCCATCTACAGAAGAGAGTTCAAATGAGTCCCTTCTGGTAAATAACAAAACAGCTATGGATGTAGGAAAGGAATCCAAGGAAGAATCACCCTTCAAGAGGGACTGTGTCAATGGTGAGGCCTCCAGTGGGATGTCTATTCCAGTGTGCCAGTATGGCAAATGTGAATCATTGAATGCTGTTTTACCTTCTGGTGAAACTGACACATCCACTCAGAAGCAAGCTGCAACTGTGGATGATTACCAAAAAGAAAAAGTGGCAGGTTCAAGTGATAGTCAAGAAGTAGAACAGATAAAGCCTTCTGACGTTGAGGCACCACATTGCAGCAATAGCGAGAAGAAAACACAAGGCACAGATGTTGAAACTAAAGAAACTGAATCAGATAAAGAAGGTATGGAAAAGGCATATCCCACGTACCTACCCTCAACCTGATAACATGGTCAAAAGTAGTGATTTCCCATTTTGACAGATAAATCAATTTGTGGACATCACTTTTTTTTTCAAGCACAGATATTTCTTTTAGAAGTTTTGAAATTGCATTTGTGTTTTATCAATGATGTGTTTAGCTTGATTCTCCTCAGAGAAGGTATTTGTGATTTTGAGAATCATTCTTGGACAACTTGGAATTAAATGGCTGGTTTAATTAAGCCCAGTCTTCTAATATTTGCTTCCTAATTTGCAGGTACATTGAAAAATAAAAAACCTCGTAAAGTTGCTTTGGCACAAGTTCCGGAAGAACAGGAGCATGTGCCCCCTGTTATTGTTGACCATGGCAGATTAATGGTAAGGATGATAGGAAATAAAGTATTAAACCTGAAGCATAATGTTTCGTTTCATTTCTTGTCATTTGTCCTCCCCAAGTAGTTTTGAATTGTATAACATTGAAATCCTTACAGTTCATGTTTGAGTTCATGTCTTTAAAATCGATACTGCTTAGTAAAAGTTGAACTAAATTATGACTATCCTAGTGTTGTATATCAGTAAAAGAGTTAAAGATATTTTGTTATCTGAATATTCATTTCTGCCCTGCCCTTCCGCACTCCACAGAGTCAGAAGCAGTCTAAAGGGCATTTACTCTTAACATTAGACATCTGTTCCATTCAGTCAATCATCTTGTGTGTTCTTCATAGTCTGATTTGCATTTTAAAAATAGATTTTCTGATAACAATTATGTCACGTGGCCATTTTGTTGTGTGACACCATAATTTGGACCAAGAGAACATGACAGTGTTGACCTTGTTTTGAAATAGTTTCATTTATTCTATGATGCGTGATGGATGCTTAACATACCTTCCAAAAATAAAGACAAATGTTAAACAAAAAGTTGGTAGCAGAAATGCAGTGAATTTGGACTGCTAGTGCCCCCTACTCCCAAAAGCTTTTGAGTTTCCAAATGTTTTGTGGCCTAAAAATGGTTCACCTCTGAATACTTGGGAGAACCTTATTCCAAATAAGGTTTTGAAAAATGCTCTCCCCAAATCATATGAATGCATTTGATTTCATATGGATAGTAGTAGTACTTGCTAAGTAAAATCAACGCAAAATCTACACGACACAGATATACACCAGTGGTTCTCAGCCTGTAGTTCCCCAGGTGTTTTGGCCTACAACTCCCAGAAATCCCAACCAGTTTACTAGCTGTTAGTATTTCTGAGAGTTTAAGGCCCAAACATCTGGGGACCCACAGGTTGAGAACCACTGATATACATGGATATTTGATGCAAGCTCTCTAGAAAAAGGTCCCAAATTCATATTCTGCTGAGCACTTAGTAGTAAAGGGTGCAAATGAAGTTTACTAATACATTAGCTTTTAACTACTGTGTCCCATGTACTGTTTGAAAGCAGAGTGTGAATTAGATTTCCTTCGCACTTCATCCTGGACTTATATCAACTTCTGCTTATAGAATTTGCTAGATTTATTGGTTAAGAAAAGCGATAACCTGACAGTTGACCAGCTTGAGAGGCTCTACTCACTCCTCAATCAGTGCATCTACCAGCATCGTAAAGATTATGACAAGACACGGCTTGTAGAGGTAAGTTTGAGTAACACGTTTGTGCTCTTTGTAATATAGTTCTTCAGCAACTGTTCCTTTAGGCCTGTCTTGATGGCTATTCCCAGATGATGGAGACCTTTGGCAAGAAAAGCATAGTTCATCCCTTCATGGATGACTTTTTGACTTTGACCTATAAACAATTTTTATTGATACTTTATGTTTCATTTTATTTAAGCATCCATTTTTATTCTTTATTGCTATTTTTGGTACTGTATTATATTGTTTTGTATTACAGGACCAGTTTTAGCTTCTATGTGTTATATTATTGGTCGTAACTGATTGAGTGTTTTCACATTTGGAATGACGGAATACAGATTAAATTAACAAATAACTGCCAAAATACTTTTTGAAGTTTATCAAGCTGGTGATGGTTAGAACTGCTATGAAGAAGTGATAATATGATTTCATAGAAGCATAGAATCCTAGAGTTGGACGAGACCTTCTGGGCCATCCAGGCTCCTATTTATGCAGGCCAATATACTCCTATTTATCCTGCCTTTCTCTCAAAATTTAAGTGGGAAGTGGTTCACAAGAAGGATTAAAGAAATAGAACAAAAAGGCCTAAATACAATTATTAATCCCAATTAGGGTTTCAATGGTTCAAACAATTGCTGCATGGTAAAGCAACACTCAGTAAATTCTATTGATTCAATAGATCTACTCTACTTGGAATTAGTCCAAAATAGTATGATACCCAGGGTGTGAGCCCAAATTTATTTCTGTTAACGTGAATGAGGCTTAAATTGACTGAAATTAAAGTTCAGTTTGGTTTGTAGCTGGAACTGTCATGAACTCTGTTGCAAAAAAAAAAAAAAAAAGCACAGCTCAACAAAAAAATCCTTTGTGCCTTTTTTTTGCCCATTTTTGGGCTTATTTGGGGCACTGATTCATTTGATAGACCACATCAGCTCTAGTTTCTTAGATGTGGTATCATGATTTTCTTTTGGCGAGCAAAAGGTGACTGGTATGTGGCATCTCAAAAGCTAGAGCAGATGGGGGAAACTGGGGCCATTTTTGGAATCATAGAATCAGATATACCCACAAATAGGTCTAACATTTGGGGCACTGATTAAAATGTGTGTCAGCCAGTGGAATCTGTGTCTTAGAAGCACGTTGCTGATGTATCAGTAGAATAGTTGTGATATTTTTGTTTTTAACATTTTTTGTTCCTCACGTTGCTCAGGAGTGATAAATAATATCCTGTCTTCTTTCAGGAGATGGAAAGAACAGTTTATATGTTTGAAACATTCCTGTGAACTCTCCAAGGTGTGCGGGTGTATCTTTTCATGAGCTGCTCACGGTAGAGCAGTCTTCTGAGCCATTCGATTTCCAGTTGCACCAAGTATGTGCAAGAGCCTTGGTCTCAACGCGCTCGCTCTTTGTCTCATTTTCTGTTATGAATTTGGTGCTATTGTCTCAGGTACCTGAAACCAGCCAGCCTACAAGAACCAAACGGAACTTCATAATATTTGTATCTTGATATAAATAAAGAATATAATGCCACAACTTGGAGATTTTTGGTGCTACAGAACCTGCTCTCATTTCTGCTGTCTACACGCATTATCTTAGGAGGAGCTTCAGGCAAAACGGAGCAGGCTAACAAACACCCACAAACTGGATAGAGCAGATCCAATGGATGGTTTTGTTAAGTAGGCAAGTTCAAAAAATAAATATTTTTCCTTTTTACTTTATTTTCTGAGGTAATGGACAGAAGCCTGTTTTTAAAGCTGGCAGTGAAGAATTGTGGTTGAATTGAATTACTTTTGGTATACAATAATGTGAAGATGAGGCTCTCTGGAGCTGCCTTCAATGTGCCTTTTTAGTCAGAGGAGGATGAGGAAGAGGAGGAGGAGAAGGAGAAGGCTATGAAAGTGGTTGGGATTGTAGCCAATGACAGAATTAGAAAGTTATTTTCAAAAGCCTGTGTTCCCAAAGAACAGTTTCAGGTCCCCATGTTGTCGAACGGCAGCCAGTATTATGTTTTAACATGTCTATGTTGCTCTCCAGAAAGCTAAATTAAGGAATTTACAATGTTATCTCAGAATGGTAAAAATGTGTTTATTCCACAAGTATATAAGTTCTCATCAAACAAATTTCACGGTGGATATTTAAGGTGGCCGTAGTTGTGTTGGTTTTGTTTTTATTTCCATGTTCCCATTGTATTCCTTCAGAGTTCTTAAAAACAGGTTTCTTTCTGAACTACGATAATTTTTGGAAATATTAAAAGAGACAGCTTTGCCCTTCAAAAAATGTTTTGTCAGTGTTTGTACGAATTCGAACCCGCTTATTCAGTACAGTCCATTTTGCGCAGTATTCATCAGACGATAACTTAATGGCCTTTCATTTTGTTTCTTTTGGGATGTCCTGGAAAGATTGCTGTTTTCTTGGGGCTGAAGGATGTGACCTTCGTTCTCAAGATCCTCCTTTTGGTAAATAAGAGGAGGCACGTATCGGGCAACGGGATTCTCTTTTAGAGTCGATATTTGGCATCTTCTGACGGTCCTTTAGGTCAACAACGTAGAAGGTCAGGTGGATTGGTAGCTTCTTGTGTTAGCATCACATGACCATAGTGTCCGCTTATAGTGTGATCAGAAGCTGCAGGTTATGTTTTTTCTCACATATGCAACTCAGCTTGTTTCCGTTTCAGTAGGCAAAACCAGTTCTCAGACAACTGCAGAGTTACCTGGCTACCTCAGCTTTTTGTATTTTAGTTACCACCAGTGTTTACAGAAAGCTGCAGTCCGTTTCACTCCCGTTTACATGCTAACGCTAAGGTACTAGGCATGTAGCTTGTAGTAGTGAACCATTGCTGCATCCCCGCTACTGCAGTGACTCGATGTGCTTTTTCTCTGCCCTCCCAACCCTTTCTGATGTTATGTCCAAGCCTTCTTCTGGCCAAACCTCTACGGGCCCGCCCCCAAATGCCACTTTGTTAGTTAATTTCTAGTATGCATTTTGTCACACTCCTCTAAACACAACTCCTGTAAAAATATTGTATTTTTTGGTGGGAAAGTGCGATTAAAACGAAAGCATATTTTAAACTTGCAATTTGTCCCTTTTAGAAATTTGATTCTGGGGATGTCTCTTTTCTTCTGTTGATATTTATTGCCATTCCTCCCCACCCTCTCCTTTCTGGGATATTTTGCTGTCAGATCCATTTGCATTTTGTATTTTGATGGGGATTGTTACACAACTTTGAGATTTCATGAAATGTAGCAGATTTTTTGTAGCAAGTTTCTGGTAAAAAAAAAACACCCCGTTGTTTTGCAAGTCTCAGGTTCTTGCAGCATTTTTTAAAAAAACTTTCTAGTTCAGAGCTTCTTTTGTTCAAGTAGCAGCAGCACTTGTGAAAAAGAAAGAAAACAGCATACATTTTTAACAAGTTGCTAAATTTGTACAAATCTAAATCCTTTAAATATAGTTGTTAAATAATTTGAAGAATATCGGAAATTCAAGTTTGGCATTGAAAAAATGCTTTCTGAGTGGTCAGCTAAGGAGAAAAAAAATCTTAGTCGTTTCTGAATGTTGAAAGAGAACGTGAGGAGCTGCCTCTAAATGTTATAGGATTTCAGATAAATTAGCTTATATAAATGTGTTAGTGGGCAACATGAATAAAATGATATATTCACTCTTTTGGCTCCAGAACCATGCTAAAACATGTATCGCTTTTCTTTACTAATAGCCTAGTGGTTGTAGAGTTAAACCTGTTAATCTCTTCCTGTTGTCAAGTTGTTTACTCTCTGTATTTTTGTTGTTATTATTATTATTATTGTTATTATTATTATTTTTGCCACATAAAATTGGCAATAACCTGTACAAATCAATTCCTGTTTCTTGTTATGAATATTACCAATGAACTCCAAGACATGGCCTTTTCCGAGAGCCAAAAATGGAGGTTAAATTTCTGTGGGGCTAATAATGGAATTGCTCTAAGGTGACCACCGCTGTGGAGTTAAATTGTGTTTGCAAGCTTGAATTTCACCTGTGATTAATTTATGTTTTGTGTCCTTGGTATTGTTACTTGAGTTTTCTCATATGCCAACTTATTTATTATAGGATTATGGGGGTCTTCCTTTCTTTCTTTCCTTCTTTCTTTGTGAATGCCCTGTCTTATCGTCTTTTTTCTTCTTTTCTTTTTCAATTGGAAGGTCATTCCTGGTTTTGTTTTGATATTTTGAATCGCAGGCCCTGTCGCTGCTCGCCATTACTCTCCCCTTTTCATGTACAAATTCAACATAGCCTTGAACCTGAGCTCATCCCTGCTTCTTTTCTATATTGTATGTTGGTTTACTAGGCAATGGGGACGTCTTGTTGTTTGGTTTCATCCATGTGTGTCTCCTATTTGATTACGTAAGCTTACTTCCTCAGCTATGATAACGTTTTGGATTCTATCAGTTGTATCCAGAATTGTGTTTCATGATTTTTCTTTTTTTTTACTTCATCTTGCGTTAGCTACGTAAATTATTTAATATTTTGTTTTGGAAATTCTGGATATTTTGGAACATTTTACTGTAATTTGTAATATAACTGCTGTGAAATACTTGAATAAAGATGACAAGTAAAAATCCTGAGTTTCTAAATATTTTTGTGTGTTTTAATTCCCGCTAATGTTTACACTTTTATTGCTTTGTGTTTAAACTGTTAGGCAGCATAATTCATTTCTGAATCCCTTCATTTCAACTGGTGGGAAGTGTTAAATGGGCAAAAACCAAATCATTTTTAGAGAAATGCCCAAAGACTTAGATTCACTTAATAGGATTTTCGATGGTCCCCTTCTCCTTTCATCTTCCCCAATAAACTCGTTTTGAAACTTCCTTCACTTTGAGAGGGAATTGGATACATAGCTGGGAGCTGTTGCTTGAGATACACAGCCCCTGTGCCCCCTCTGGCTTGCAAAATTACATCTTGCTGCACTTATGGATCCAGGTTGTTGTGTTTTAGCAGCTACAATATTCTATCTCTATAAAAGTAAAAGTATGCCCGCTTGTACCACAAAGACTGTTGCTAGGTGAAGTGCCTCTCTGTGATGTCACTGGGAAAAGGTGATATGCGTTTGAGAAAGAGGAAGGGGACGATGAAGAATGGAAGGAAAAGAGACCTATGTTGCCATGGAATCATTGAGAGGTAGGCCTTCTCAGAGCTGGAGAAGGGAGGAAGCAGGTGGCAGCGGCCCTTCCAACACTTGGGCAATGCCTGATATATACACTAGTATAGATTATTACCTCTACAGCCCTAAACTTTTCAGCTTATCTTTATGGCTGTATCTCCCCCTATAAACCAGCGCTAGCTCGTAAGGTCTGCCGGGGAGGCCCTCCTCTTGCTCCCACCTCTGTCACAAGCACAATTGGTGGGGATGAGAGAGGGGGCCTTCTCGGTGATGGCCCCTCAGCTCTGGAATTCTCTCCCCAGGGAGATTAGATTAGCCCCCACCCTATTCACCTTCTGTTAAGCCTTGAGAACTTGGATGTTCTAATGTGCCTTTGAATGACAGCTCCCAATTAGGTCTACCCGGCCCTGACCTATTGTTTTGGTTTTTCTCAGCACTTTACTCCCAGCCCTATAGCCTATGTTTTGCACAGCCCTTGCCCTGCCCTCTCGAATCTCAACATGCCAATTTTTCCGGCTATTGGTGGTTTATATTTTTTGTGATGTTACTTTTTTTGGGTTTTAAAATTTAATTATATTGTTTATTGTCATATATTTTTAATTCTTGTTGTTGCTGGGCTTAGTCCCCACATAAGTCACCCCAAGTCCCTTTGGGGAGATTGTGGTGGGATATAAGAATAACATTATTATTATTATTATTATTATTATTATTATTATTATTATTATTAAGTGGATTGAAGTGCAGCAATTGGAGATGAAATGTTGGTCTGTGGTTCATTTGTAGCAAAGATGCTGTATGCAAAGAATCTGTCCCTCTCCCTTTCTGCTCTGTAAACATGGAGTACACTCTTATCCTCAGTACATGGTTGCCACAAGACTACAATTGCTGACATAAGGAAGAAAATATGAGCTCCCAAGAGCTAGGACAGCATGTGTGTTGTGTTGGATATATAGCGTGTGTAATAAATCAGCAACAGCCGGCTAAAGTGTCTAGTTAATGTATAACATACATTGGCATATGACCTCTCAAGATGTGGGTTTTAATACAACTTATGCAGCAATGTTACTTCTTACTATTCTTAACACTGGATAAAGAAAGTTTTAACCTATATTGATGCATTTAATTTCTAATAGGATGTAGTAGTTCAAAGTAACAGGTAATCCTATGCACAGGTTGAAAAGAGAAGTCTTAAAAATATAAGGGAGTATGTGTGTATGTACGTGTGTGTGTGTATATATATATATATGAGAAAGTGAAATGATTAAAATTGGTTTTTGATATAGTCATTTCAGATTGGACTCCAAACAAGTTAGTTGCTTTTCGATTACACTGAAATTGGTGTGCAGAGATCATTATGACTAATTGAAATTTCCATTGGATCAGTGGAACTTAATTTTGATTAATTTACTTTAGATCCAACCCATTAATTTATACTAGTCTCCATTAGACATAAATAGCTCATATAGAATGAGGCCAAGATCCTATTCAGTCCCGACTGAGCAGAAAGCACTGCTGACGGTGGATGATTTATACAGAGAGGGTGATGTCCTTGATGCCTCCTTTGGGACAGGCGCTTTCCCCCATCATCCATCTTACAGAACAGTACTTTGGCTCCAAGACCACCTTAGAATCAGGCATCAAAGAAATGGCTGGATGTTGTAAATGGAGGCACAAGTCAGCTGCCTGCCTCCTCCTCTGGCAGTGGGGTCTGCTTGCAATAGATTGCCAGTTATTAGTGCTATTCATCACTTGTGCTATTTCACTTCGGGTTGTACAAAGGCATCCTGGATGCCTCCCATGTAAGAATAGGACACGATTGTAGCTATATGTATGCCGCAAAGGGCTGGGGTATACAGCCCTTGGGGTATCCCTTAATGAGCATAAGCGAGCAGCAAAAGTAGGTAAATATGGAATGTTAAATTATAGGGATCTTCTACATGCAAAAAATACACATTCCCCCTTTGTTCTACTGATCAACTTACATTTAGTATCCTGTAACATTTTGGAGACTGATGTGCTTGAAGTCCTTTTTGAATCAAATTGTGCTTGTAGAATTTAGTTTCAGCCACCTCAGTGCTTACCTGTGTTGATGTAGGCAAAATGTAAGTTAAGGCTTAACTGAATTATACTCTGAACTGTGTTAGGCCTGTAGGAGGGGAATTCTGCCTTCTTCCCAAAAGGATTATGGTCTAATCCAGTGGTTCTCAAACTTTGGTCCTCCAGGTGCTTTGAACTTCAACCTCCAGAAGTCACAACCAGTTTACCAGCTGTTAGGAATTGTGAGATCTGAAGTCCACTTGGGAGGACCAAAGATTGAGAATCACTGGTCTAATTAATAAATGTGTAATAAATATTCTGGACTGCATCCTTCCACTGCTGGAATGCTTTCTGATCCAGGGCAAAGTGGAGCGGTGATTTCTTTCTAGCGAATTCCCTTTCAGGATGCTGTGGAGGAAAGGTAGGTAGAGCCAGTCTCCTCTGGATGAAGAACTTTCCTGCAGGTGAGGAGACACAATTGTCTGTATCATTCCTTGTGCTATTTTCTACAGTCAGATATTGGTAAAGAGTAAGTGCTGATGATCTCTGTTTTATTTGGTGGGCAACTCTGTGTCTGAATGGTTAAACTTAAATATTATGTACCTGCATGGCAAACAATGCTGGGAATTTTGGATCCAGTCCTGTGCCATGTTTTAGCTGGATTATTCGCACATTTAATAATAATAATAATAATAATAATAATAATAATAATAATAATAATCCCAAATGTAGACTGCAAGGAAGCAGATGAAACAATAGATCACATCCTCAGCTGCTGCAAGAAAATCGCGCAGACTGACTACAAGCAGAGGCATAACACTGTTGCTCAGATGATTCATTGGCATTTGTGCCACAAATACCATCTGCCTGTGACAAAGAATTGGTGGGATCACAAGCCGGAAAAAGTTACAGAGAATGAACACGTCAAGCTACTCTGGGACTTCCGAATTCAGACAGACAAAGTGTTGGAGCACAATACTCCTGACCTCACGGTCGTGTTAAAAAACAAAGTATGGATTGTTAATGTTGCAATCCCGGGTGACAGCAGGATTGAAGAAAATCAACTGGAAAAGCTGGCACAATATGAGGATTTAAAGGTCAAACTGCAAAGACTCTGGCACATGCCAGACAAGGTGGTCCCAGTGGTGATCGGCACACTGGATGCAGTGCCTAAAGACAATCGCCGCTGACAAAATTACTATCTGCCAGCTGCAAAAGGCCACCTTACTGGGATCTGCATGCATTGTTTGCCAATACATCACACAGTCCTAGACACTTGGGAAGTGTCCGACGTGTGATCCAATACAACATCCAGTAGAGTGTCTGCTGTGGACTCAACTTGTGTTTCAAGTAATAATATAATTTTTATTACCCATCCCTCCTTTTGGCTTGAGGTGTAGTAGTAGTAGTAGTAGTAGTAGTAATAATAATAATAATAATAATAATAATATTTTATATTCTGCCCTATCTCCCCAAGGGGACTCAGGGTGGATCACAGTACACATACACAGCAAACATTCAATGCTGTTTTGGATAGACAGGACAGAGAACAGAAAGGAAGTGTGTTGCATCGACATCCAGTTTTTTGACGCCTTGGAGGTTTGTGTCATTTGTGTCATCCAGCGACATTAGCGCTATTGAAGATCTATGGGTGAAGCAGCCTACCAAGACAATTCCCATTTTAACAGTCAAGGTTTTATACCAGATGACAGGCAACAGTCAGACAACATTTATGCAGACTTTGAGCATTGTACAAACAACCTTTTTAAAGGGTAGTGTGCAATTCCCTAGTGAAGTAAAGGGTAGTGTCAACAAAAGGTGAACGAATGAGCCTACCTATGTTTAGAATTTCTAAAAGCTTTTAAGGAGAGCCTGCTTCTGCATCCCTTAGTGGATATCTGCGTATGATTCATTTATCACACGCTTCCCACCAATTTCCCAGAGGAAATCCAGAATAATTTGCACTTACAAGCAAAACCAAAATACCCTCTCTGTGTCTTACTCATCTTACCAAGTCGTATTGACTTATGCTGAATAAGACCTCTTCTCCGGTGTTAATAAGGTTGGCAGCTCCTTCAACTCACCCTGGATTCTTTGAGGGATTAAATTTGCAAAGAAATAGTCACTTCCTGCTCTTTAGCTTGGACGGCAACATGGAAACAAACAAAAAATGAAGGATTGCAATGTCAGTTCGAAGATAAATCTTGCAAAGTAGACCTAATCATACTATGAATATTCCACACAGAAAGCAGTCTGTATGTTAAAGAGGTATGTGCTCTCCATCTATTGTATTTTGCTGATCAGTTGTTTTCCACACAATCCGTGCTTTAACAGTTTCAGAGCATTAGATTGGATTTCTCTTTAGAGATGAAGTATTTTACCAAATTTTTGAGTTTCTAGTCTTGGAAGACCCATGTATGAAAATATTGACTATACAAATGAAATATTCCAGAAGTATTGATGTGAAAACAAAAACAAAAATGCATTAGTTGGTGGGGAAAGTGACCAACTTGTTCGAAAACGGCAGAATAGACCAAGAATGTCCAAGAATTGGAGACTTTTACATCCATGGCTAGAAGGTAGCCTGGCTAAGAAGCACAAGCATTGTTTTTGCTTTTGTTAAAAAAATAATCCAATTAATGCTGGATCTAGATCTAGAAATAGATTTATTTAACAAGAACTGAACAGTAAGCATATATACAATATCATTACAGAAAACCCTGTGTATTTAGTATTCACAGAAATAGTTTAGCTCCAATGTAAGAAAAGAAGAAATAGGATAATTTTGGAGCTGTTGGACGCTTAGCTAGGCTCCCAAGCTAGCACCTCCTTTGGAGGCAGACCCACACCAATGCTAAAAACCTGCCCCGGGCAGTGAGGAACTTGTGTGCCAATCTTTTGGGATCACATTTGCACCATGTTTGAAGGAAATATTTCACATGAAAGCTGAGACCAAACTTCGTAACGTAAGTTTGAACATTGCTGCCCTTGAGAGAGTCATCTAGTCATCAAGATTCCAGACTATAACACGTTCATTTGAAATATGGCAAGATACAAATTTTTGAACAACCCTTGCTTTGTATAAATGTATTCTTTACAAAATGATTTGACTGGCCAGCCATCTGTGATGTTTTATCCAAAAAATTCCAATCTAAAAAGAAAATTTATCTGGTATCAAAATCAACTAGCCATTGGCTGCAGTTCTCTGGCTCTTTAAAAGCCAGAAGGTTTTTTTTATTGTGTCAGAAGCGAATTGAAAATATACTGCAAGTCATTTCTGTTGTGAGAGAATTGATCGTCTACAAAGATGTTGCCTAGAGGATGCCCGGATGTGTTGCCATCTTGTGGGAGGCTTCTCTCAGGTCCCTGCATAGGAAGCTGGGGCTGACAGATGGGAGCTCACCCCATCTTGTGGATTTGAACTGCTGACCTTCAGGTCAGCAATTCAGCCGGCACAAGGGTTTAACCCAGGGGCGTCAAACTTTTTAAACAGAGGGCCAGGTCACAGTCCCTCAAACTGCTGGAGGGCCAGATTATAATTTGAAAAAAAAAATGAATGAATTCCTATGCACACTGCACATATCTTATTTGTAGTGCAAAACACTTTAAAACAATACAATAATTAAAATGAAGAATAATTTTAACAAATATTAACTTATTAGTATTTCAATGGGAAGTGTGGACCTGCTTTTGGCTGATGAGATAGGATTGTTGTTGTGTGCTTTCAAGATGTATCAGACTTAGGTTGACCCTGAGTGAGGGCCGGGAAAATGACCTTGGGGGGGGGGCGTATCTGGCCCTCGGGCCTTAGTTTGAGGATCTCTGGTTTAACTTATTGCACAACCTGTGATTCTAAGTAAACTTCCTTGGAAGAGATGGACTGGGACTTGTGTCCTATCTATTGTACACAGGAGTAACAATGAGCAAAAGTTACACCAGTCATGGAAGTGCTCCTGCAAAGAGAACCTTGCCCTTGTAGTGTATAGGTGCCACTGTATTGTGAGTTTCCTTGCCCGTATCAGTACCAGTTAGAGTCTTGGTACAGCAGAAATTACAAAATTATGCTTTTTTGAGCAGTGAGCATCCTAGGTCTCACCAAAGAGATATTGGTTTTGGTAGCAACCCTATGGAGCATTAACAATAATTAGCTCCATTAAATCTCTAGTTTCTTAAAAAAATGACCTCTCCCGTATGTGAAATCCTGGCTAAGACTTTATATAAACTAGGATTGCTTTCTGTCTCCCCTGTATCTGGCATGCAGCACTTCAGATGGATTAAGATGTCTTTCTAATGGCCGTGATGAAGTTCTGTGAAGACGGGTATTTCCACTCAGTTCTGCCGCTGCAAAGAAAATCGGCGATCACTCAGTAGCTCAGGGTTAATCCTTAGAGGTGTTTGCTGTTACCGCTGTAATCCTGTTGTCCCTTCTGATCTGCTCCATGTACACATTTGTAAAGAAATGTTCACATCACAATGCTTCTCTGAATATACAATATTTTAATATACATACAAAAATATAGCCCTGCTGTGTATATACTTTACAACTCTACACAATATCCTTCCCCCCCCCGCCACTTCTTCTCTGTAAAGCAGGATAGAACCTGATATATTTTCAATTATTGTTGTCAAACCTGTGTATTGAGAAGCTGTAAAAGCAGTCATTAGAAAAGCAGCCGCGGAGACCTCTTGAGGTGGGAACGCTTCCTTAAGGCTTCCTCTTACACTTGGGAAAGGGAAGTGGCAGAGCAGTAGGGTTTGAAAAAATAGGATTTTTTTAAGATTATTCTTGACAAAAATATAGACAGTGGCATATATCCTGGGTAACGGACTCACTCGGTGGTGACCTCACCTCCCGTCCCCCCCACAAGGCATTGTCTTCAATAACTGGCTCAAAATATGGAACTCCAACACAGAACTTTCATTCTAAACTTTGAATAGATAAATAAAAGTTTAATAAAAGCTCCTAGATGCCTCTTGCTTTACAGAAACGTAGTTGTCATTTTATCCATACAGTAGAAAAACAGTAGAAAGGCAGAAACAAGCCCTCCTCACGACCACACATTCACATTGGCATACAACTTCAGAAAACCTTTTCATTAAAAGGACATGGAATGCTAGTAGACAGACAGACACACTTCTATCTCGTATTAGCTCTGCCCTAAGGAGCTGTAATAAACATGGTGGAAGACTGACTGCAGTCTGTCGCAGGAGTTCTCTCTCAGTCATTGGTATTGAAAAGCATACGCTGGGTTAAAAACAAACCGGTCGCAATCAAAGTGGTAAGGACACTTTGACCTTCATTTCCGATAGCCCCGATGCTTAAAGTGTAGTAGCAAAGCCTAAACTGACAAAGTTAAAATTCAAGAACTTGCTCTCAAGGAGTAATAACACGGGTTCTCTTTCGCCCCCCCTAGTTAAAACAATGTACGGGAAATGCTATTGCACCTGGGTAGACCGAAAGCCTATGTCTGTAACTAGCGCCACTATGACATCTAGTGGCACGCTTGTGTTAAGCCACGCTGTCGCACGTAGGGTGGAGCACTCCGCTCCTGGTTCACCCAAAGGTGAGGAAGATTTTCTACATTCAATGTAGAGATTATTTGTAATTTCGGCAAGACGTTTGTCGGTTGCACCTCCTTGTTGACGTTTCTCTCCAGGACAGTTTTGTGTTCTTGCCTCTGCTGGGCAAGAAACAGAGAGTCTGCTATTGCAAGTCTTGGTTGGCATCATCCGCTCTGAATGTACTTTTTAATTACTACGCAGCCATGTCGGAACACAGGACACGGCATATTGGGCAGAAGCGTCCATGTGTTTGTCTTGGGGTCATAGGCTTCCATGTTTCCTAGGGCAGGTCCTTCACTACTAACAATCCCACCGGTGGCATAAATCTTCCCATCAAGGACCACAGCACTGTTGGAGGAAAGAAAAGAGAAATGCAGTTAGTTATGTGTTTTCTTTATCCAGCCTGCTCTTTGGAAGCAATGCTCAAGTTCTTCCACCTTTTGAGCTGCAAAGTCATCGGTAATAACAGGAAGCTCTTCCAGGCCTTCCACACCATCATTCATTCTCAGAACGTTCCTGCTGTGTAGAAAGTCGCTTTCAAATTGAAAATGGAGGCAGCAACTGGCCCTGATGACCCACCGTAGGGAGTAAATAGCACCGCCAGTGTTTATGCGACCAGGTTTGCTTCATGTTCCTGCCACTCTATATACAAACACCAAGGTCGGCCTTCTTCTGTACTCACCGCTGGGAACCAGTGTTTCAATATTCCATTAGGGATAGCAAATGGAGGTCCGGCCTCGGCCTCGCCTTCTGCTGTGGAAGTGGATGTTACACCTCATAAGCTTACTTGATTTGGGAAGAATAAAACATGTGGCTTCGAGTTATGGGTTGTGTAAGAATACAAGCAAGGCCTTTTATGAAAAATAGACACCAGCAGCCTAGAATATCTTCAAAGAACATTGAATCGGCAAATGAACAATTCAAAGACTCCTTGCTTGTTACTTTTTGGGAATACGCACCACCACCTTCACGGTTACTTATTACTGAAAGAGTAATCCATTGCATGACTACTTTTAATTTTTCCAAAGAGCTAGACCAGTGGTTCTCAACTTGTGGGTCCCCAGGTGTTTTGGCCTACAATTCCCAGAAATCCCAGCCAGTTTACCAGCTAATAGGATTTCTGGGAGTTGAAGGCCAAAACATCTGGGGACCCACAGGTTGAGAACCACTGAGCTAGACCAATAGACAAAAACACAGCTAAAACTACGAAGTCATTCAACAGCCAAATACAGGAGGGTAAAGTGATTACGCTATTGCTCTTGTTAAACAATTGGAAATGAGAAATTGTGAAGATAATTGAGGAGCGACTTGAAGAGCTGGTTATGTTCAGCCTGCAGAAGAGAAGGCTGAGAGGAGACATGATGGCCATATATATGTGAGGGGAAGTCATAGCAAGCTTGTTTTCTACTTGCTCCCTCCTCCCTCTTCCCTACATTACAGATTGCTGTTGTTGGGGTTGGGTAACTTACTCCACAGCAATTGCAGAGTATATTGTTATCATCATCATCATCATCATCATCATCATCATCATCATCATCATCTGGAGATTAGGACGCACAACAATGGCTTCAAACTACAGGAAAGGAGATTCCACCTGAACATTAGGAAGAACTTCCTGACTGTGAGAGCTGTTCAGCAGTGGAACTCTCTGCCCCGGACTGTGGCGAAGGCTCCTTCTTTGGAAGCTTTTAAACAGAGGCTGGATGGCCATCTGTTGGGGGTGCTTTGAATGTGATTTTCCTGCTTCTTGGCAGAAGGGGTTTGGACTGGATGGCCCATGAGGTCTCTTCCAACTCTATGATTCTATAAATCAGGTAGGGCTTGATGCCTGGGCCTTCATTGTCAACAGAGGGTCTAAAACAGTGCTTCTCAACCTTGGGTCCCCAGATGTTTTTGGCCTACAACTCCCAGAAATCCCAGGCCAGTTTACCAGCTGTTAGGATTTCTGGGAATTGTAGGCCAAAAACATCTGGGGACCCCAGATTGAGAACCACTGCCCTAAACGGTTCCAACCCGGTTTACCTGTCGAAACATTTCTTCTCCTATAAACCATCAAGGACTTTAAGATCTTCTGGAGAGGCCCTGCTTGGTCCCACTACCTTCGCAGTCATGTTTGGTGGGGACAAGAGACAGGGCCTTCTCTGTGGTGGCCTCCCGGCTGATGGTCTGCCTCCTCCCTCCTGTCCTTCAGGAAGCAGCTAAAATCCTGGCTTTGAAATCAGGCATTTCCAGATTGATGGCTGATCCGGTATAGACTAAGAGTTGCGTGTGCAAGTGCGATACACCACTCACCGCCAACCCATGGTCGGTTGGCCATTGGCCCCTTGACCCGCCGGCGGGAAACCTTCCTGCCATCAGAGGGGGCTTCTGGGAGAAAGAAGCCCCCCTTAAGGCAAGAATGGCGGTGGGGGACGCCCTGCCCCGCAACTTCTTTGGCCCGGTAAGTCGGGCCATGCCTTTTATTTGACCACAACATTTGGATTGAATTGGATGATGTTTCTTAACTTGATGAATTGTCTTGTATATGTATTTTAGAGCTTATTTATTGTGTATGTTGTTTTATGACGTTATTTATTGTATAGCATTGAATTTTTCTGTTAGCCGTTCTGAGTCCCTCCACGGAGGTAGAGAAGAACAGGATATAAAAGTGGACGTGATTTTATCTTGGCAACTTGGCTTATTTGTAATTTTAATCTATATGCATTTTAACTTGTTATTGCATGATTTTTTAGACTGTATTATTAGCATTGAATCCTTGCTGTGAGCCGGTCTGAGTCCCTCTACGGAGGTAGAGAAGATCAGGATATAAAAGTTTTTAAAAAACAAGTAAATAAATAATAACAGGAAACCCTATATTTTGACTATACTTGGGTCAGAAAGGTAGCATAGACTAGCACTGGCGGACTTAAGGGAAATCCACAAACACTGCAGGGTGGGAATGATTTTGGGAGTGTACATATAAGTGAAATGGTCTATACTGAGTCAATAGATAAAGGCATTGTACTTTATTTTCTATGCATTTTACCACACTGCAGAAACAAGGCCATAGAAACAAGGAAATCGAGTAATGGATGAGGAAACATTGGGAGGTATACTAATAGATTTGCAACTATAGCGCTTCACACTTTTGTTAATTGTCAATGTAGATTTCTTACTGTTTTAACATTAATTTTGGGGAATTAGAGGGAACATCGTTCTATGAAACTTGCTAAACAACCTGAGAATGAGGTTTAATAAACAGTTCTAAAGACACAGGCAAGATTTCAGGCATGAGAAGGGAGAGGAGGAGTTGTTAAACAAATAATACAATGAACATCTCAACTAAAACGCTGCATTAATGAGTAGGCAACACGGATGCTGCTCTTTCTCAAAATCCGGTGATCTTTGCTAACCTATTATTTCAGTGAAAACTGGTTCTGAGTCATAATGATTCTTTATTCTGTAAGCAGATGAATGAAGGAAATAGCAAACAGGTGGTTTTTAAAGTAGAAAGTCAGAACAAACTAGTTGTTAAGAATTTGTACAGGCATTTTTAAGGCCAGCTGGTGACAGCAGTTCCTTATTTCTTTGTGTCAGTCTTCAAATAATTGCACAACTTAAGGCGGATCACACTATAATTTATCTACTCCAAGTTTCTGAGCACAGAAAGAAAAAAAGTAAGAGCTATGGAAAGTATTGAAAGTGGGAAGGTTAAAAAAACACAAAGAATGCTAAACTCTTGGCTTAGACTATCCCTCTCAGTCCTTGGCCTTGCACCACTTACTATGTCAGCTGACTTTCAGTCCAGATGGCAAAAAGCAATAGCAGCTAAAATTTAATCCTTGGCTTATCACCAGATCTGCTAACCAGTATGGGCTACGACCAAGCCAAACAACAAATAACTGACATTGAGTGCCAATCAGACTATCCGTTATTATCAATGGAGTCAGTAGGTTTTGTACCTCCCCTATGAAATACCTAACCATGCTGGAGGTTTCCAGCCATCGAAGGGCCTTCACTCTGGCACGCTCCCATGCCCTCCCATCTGCCACATTCGAAGGTCATTACCAGAAGACCCCATATGCCAAGACACTGTGCCCATGGAACTCAGGACACATTGAGACAATGGAACATATGCTTCTTCAGTGCCTGTTCTATAGAGAGATTCGATCCAGTCGCAATGGGTTAAACCTTTGGGCTGGCAGGATGGAAGACCGACAGGTCGGAGGTTCGAATCCAGGGAAAGCGCAAATGAGCTCCCTCTGTCAGCTCCAGTTCCCCATGCGGGAACATGAGAGATGCCTCCCACAAGAATGGTAAAACATCAAACATCTGGGTGTCTCCTGGACAGCCTCTTTGCAGATGGCCAATTCTCTCACACCAGAAGCAACTTGCAATTTCCCAAGTCGCTCCCGACACACAAAAAATGGTTAATTTAATAAGATCAGTGTTCTTTTCTTTCGTTGTTGACTAGAGAAGTCAGAGATTGAATCTGGCATTTTGTTTGCCAAGAGCATACATTGTCCTAGCACGAATTGTATTTTTTCCTACACTACAGATTGCTGTTGTTGGGATTGGGTAACTTTTACTCCACAGCAATTGTAGAGTATTGTATTATTATTATTATTATTATTATTATTATTATTATTATTATTATTATTATTATTCCCTGCCTTTTTTCTCGCTTGGTAGGGGGTTGAAATAAATGGCCCATCTGGTCTCTTTCAACTCTATGATGCCATGAATCTCCAGAAAGGTTTTTGAGGATGTGTCACATAACTGCAAGTAGGCGGTGCAGCATCAAAAAGGCTAGACCCAGGTCCCGTCTATACTACCATAGTGCAGTTTCTTAAGTCACTTGTGACATGAAAAAAAAATATGCCATGACTATACCAACACAAAGGACGCTCTGGACAATTTTACATCTCCCTGCTGCTTACAGGTACTAACTTGGCTATAACTTATAATGTTGCTAAGTTCTGCACAGCAGTGATTAAAATCCGGCAGTCGATGACAAATAGCACAAGCTAGTACAAGTCACATGACCTTGGAGGTGTCTATGGACAACGCCAGCTCTTCGGCTTAGAAATGGAGATGAGCACCACACCCCAGAGTCAGACATGACTGGACTTAATGTCAGGGGACAACCTTTACCTTTTTAGTACAAGTCAGGATTTCATACTAGCAGAAAATTAGGATTATAGTTTTTTAATTATAGTATGGATTTTGCTCCCTCCTCTGTTTGACTGGATTTCTCTTCCCTGTGCCACATGAGCCCCTCAATTCCCTTCCTACAGACTCCCTTCCTTTTAATTCCATTACTTGTGTTGGGTTTTGATATAATGCTGCATATGGCTTTTGTCTTAGAT